TGTTCACTGCTTCTAGCATTTTCATTTTGTATTATATTAAAAACATAGAGAAGTTTTTCATTTTGCATAAAGTATTTGGCAGTGGAATAAGGCTCCTCGTCTACAATGACTTCATGCCTGTTTCATAACGATCACGTGTAGTTTTACTAATGTTATTATACATTTTTATATTTGTAATGACTTTGCTTATATGAGATTTTCATGACTTCCCTTATGTCAAGACCTTAATCAGGAAAAAGTCCTAACTCAAACAATGTTCTTATGGGGAAAACTGAGTTTTATGCAATGGCAAGTTTTTTCAACTGTTTTCAGGGATGCCCTGAGTGAAAAACTGGATTGTCTTATTTCCTGCAAGTTAACCTTGGCCCCTGCCCCCCGACCCCCTGCCACCCTCTGTGTTCCCCAGGGAAGGGCTGGCAGAGCAGGAAGAATTGGGAGTCCACTCTTGCCTTTGGCTTGATAGCCTTGGGCAGGTTAGTTTACATCTCCAAGTTTCTGTTTAATCATCTGTCAGAGAGCAATGACAATAGGCACATAATGGTCGGGAAGGACGGGAAGGTTGCAAGAAATATTGGTGTTGTGGTGCAGCTCAACAAATGCTCACTGACTGACTGGGAAACTGAGAGCCGGCTCTGTCTAGCTAGGAAAAAGGATCCAGCTTTGTCTGCTGGGTCCACTTATAGTTATGACTAGCCCGTTGTTCGATGGAGGATCCTGTAGCCAAACAAATAAATAGTTAATTTAAAGTCAAGCAAGTAGGGCTTTTTGCTTTGTATGGAAACTTAATTCCCAGGCAGTCCATACATTATGTATAGACTACCTTGACCTGAGCCCAGCACAGGAAGTCACAGAAGCGGGGGAAGAGCAGAGGTGAGGTGGGGGTGAATGGCCTGATTTAGAGCTTCCCTCTCGTATTGCAGGGATAAGGAACCTCCAAGGCCGTAGGAGTCGTCCGGAGGATATCAAGGTGCTTATTTCTGCTGTAGTCCACAATCTTTCTTGATTCCTATTGTGATGCAGAGTGTCATAAATTTTTAAGGTTAAAGATCACTTGAGCCCTGGCCCAGTGGTTCAGTTGGTTGGAGTGTTTTCCTGTACTCTAAAAAGGTCACAGGTTTGATTTTCAGTCAGGACACATAACTAGGTTGTGGGTTTGATCCCTGGTTGAGGCAGGTACCAGAGGCAACCGATTGATATTTCTCTCTCATATTGGTATTTCTCTCTGTCCTCCTCTCTCTAAAATCAATCAACATATTCTCCTCCCGTGAGGATTAAAAAAAAAAAAATCACTTGAAATGGCTCAGCTACTTCGGAAGACAGTCAGCAGTTTTTTATCAAGTTATGTGTATACTTACCATGACCTAGCAATCCTATTTACCTAAGACAGTGATTTTTCAAACGGTGTGTCCCAAGACTTTTTAAAACATGCTATACCTGCCCTGGCTGGTGTGGCTCAGTGGACTGAGCGACAGCCCACAAACCAAAGAGTTGCTGGTTCAATTTCTGGTCAGGGCACATGCCTGGGTTGCGGGCCAGGTCCCCAGTTGGGGGCATGTATGTGAGAGGCAAGCAATCGATGTGTCTCTCACACATTGATATTTCTCTTTCTCCCCCTTCTCTTTAAAAATAATTAAATAAAATCTTTATAAATAAATAAATAATAAAACATGCTATACCTGACTATTTCATCAGGGGCACTGACTTCCTTTGGACTGTCAAATAAAAATGACAGCAGCCAAAACAACAAGAGCCGTCTGGTGTGAATGAATCAAAATTATACCTATTTTTTGTCAGATCGGCAAAAAATATATTTTTGTGTGTGCTGCAGAATTTTAGTATTCGTTTATGTGTGCCATGAGATGAAAACAGTTGAAAATCGCTGACCTAAGAGGTATTTATTTAACAAAGAGAAATAAAATACATGTCCACACAAACGATTTGTACACAAACATTCCTAGCAGCTTTATCGCAGTCACCCAAACTGGAAACAGCTCAAATGTCCTTCCACTGGTGCAGGAATTAACAAACGGGGTACATCCAGGTAATAGAATTCTACTCAGTAATAAAGAGAACTGAACTCCTGATACATCCGGTGAGACAAATAAATTTCAAAAGCATAATCTTAAGTGAGGAAACTCAGACAGAAAAAACTAGATTCCATTTATGTGAAACTTAAGAGAAGATAAAAGATAATGACATAAAAAAGACCAGCGGCCGTCAGGGGTTGGGGCGGTGGAAGTGACTGCAAAGGGGCACGAGGACATTTGTTAAGGAGATGGAATTATTCTGTGTCATGGCTGTGGTGGTGGTCATAGCGAATATACCTTTGTCAAAACCCATTGAATTATACTTTAAATTAAATAATTTTATGTGTAAATTATATTTTAATAAAGCTGATTTTCACAAAAATGACGTGGCTTGAAGCTCTCATGTTTCTCAACAAAACCTGAGACTAGTTTATTTAAGTTTAACCTTAGACTCATTTATCAGGCAGGTCAGTGGGTCTCAGAAATTCCTGAGGACCTGATTTTGGTGAGAAGGGCTGATTAGGGCTCTAAAACCAGAACTTCTATGCTGGTTTCTGCTCTGGGAATCCAAAGGTTCCACGCCCAGGAGGAAATTCGGGGTCACTCCTATGATGTGGAACAGGATATTGAACCACCTGGAGGGGTTAGAGGGGACCCAGGTGACAGCCACCCCTTAGATGACCTCACATTGGTGCTGAACTTCAAGTCTTTGTGTCTCCTCTGGATTAAGCATTGTCTTCCCAGAGCTTCCCACTGGGAAACACACTTCTTGCCACCAGGGCAATGATGAGTTGTCAAGCTCTACCACCTTCTCTGAGCCCCCCAACAATCTCAGAAGGGGGCATTTGTGATCATCCCCATTTTACAGGTAAAGAAGCCAAGACTCAGAGTGTGGGTGGCTTTTCTAGGATTACACGCCCCGAATCAGCCTGGATGGGGCCAGATCCTCCCTACAGCTTCTCTCTTCAAAGCCCTCGATTTCGGCAACATGACTATCTGTTCCAGGGAACAGCTCTTCTACTTTGCCAAGGTGAGGCCTATGAAGATACCTCCAGGAAAAGCCAAGAGTTTCCCAAGACTAACAGCTTCATGTTTCTGTAGCACTGCAACAGCTGATTAAATGTCGAAGTCCGACCACCCTGATTTCAGAGTTGACAATTCTTAAACAGCTTTTAAAAGCAGATATTTATTACTCTTCATTTGTCATGGCTGTGGGAAAAAGCCTCGCTCAAACCTGCATGGACTGTCTGGCCAGGCTGTTTTTGTGGTGGTTTCCGAAGCACACAGTCCCCGGAGGCAGGCTGCCCACGTTCACTTAAGGCTACACTGTGGGCAGGCTGTGTGGCCTTAGGTGAGTGGCTCAGCCTCTCTGTGCCTGAGTTTCCTCATCCGGAAGCAAGGCAAAAATTATTCCTACCCCCTAGGGCTGTTGTGAGGGTTAAACAGGATAATCCACATGAAGACTGGAGCCCAGGGCACAGCACAGAGCAACTGTGTGGTAAATGTTAGTTGATGGGAGTGAAAGAAAAGAAAAAAACCCTGAATTCCTTTCTGGGCTTTGAACCTACAAACTCCTAAAACATAAAACACCATGTAAATTCTGGTTTGAGAGTCCTGCCGTGAGCCTTTCCCCCCACAGGCTCAGAAGCAGGTCCTTAGGAATTCTTCTGAGGCCCACTGATCTGCCTGAAGAATGAATCTAAGATCAGACTTAAGTAAATGTTGCTATAGAGTTCACGTAAGTGATAGGGATGTGACATTAGGAGAGAGGCAGGCCCTGGGATCCCCTCTCAGCTTCTCCCAGCTCTGAGCAGTGGGTGGGAGGGAAGGGGATAGCTGGGAGCAGCTCATCTGGGCCGCAAGGGGGGAGGCAGCCTTCTGGATACGAGTCAAATTTATACCCACATGTAGAAGAGAGTGATCTCTTCCACTGAGGAGGAAGGAAAGAGCACAGAATCTACTCTCGAGGCTTTTGCGCAAGTGTGCAAGCCCAAGGTAGTGAGCTGTCCTCTCCTCCCTCCCTCGTCTGTCTGGTAGGAGAGGGGACAACCAGAACTGTGCACCACCTGGCCTCTCTGACGGGCCCCGGTGAGCACCTGCCTCCAGCTGAGCCAACCAGAATCCCCCCATGGGAATTCACACTCATTCTGCCTGTCACTTGGGTAGGAGATAAACTTGGAAGCTTCCATGCTTCCTAGGACACAGGAAAAGCTAGTCTTCAGAGAGACAGAAGGACAAAACAGAAGGGGTTGGAGGGAGGTGACTTGCTGGGTACTCTAAGTCCCACCAGTTCTTGTTTGTACCCAAGGCCCAGCTGCATCCTTATGCTTAGATTCCTTAAGATGCCCTTGTACCTTTATAATAGAAAATCCACCTGCCCCCCCCCCAAGAAAAAGAAAATCCCATTTTCTCATCAACTTGTCCCTAGTTGCTTTTCTTTTTAAAAAAAAAAAAAAAAGATTTTATTTATTTTTAGAGAGGGGAAGAGACAGAAACATCAATGTGTGGTTGCATTTTACATGCCCCCTACTGGGGACCTGGCGCACACCCCACACATGTGCACTGTCTGGGAATCGAACCAGCGACCCTTTGGTTCGTAGGGCAGCACTTAATCCACTGAGCCACACCAGCCAGGACCCCTAGTTGTTGCTGGCAGTCACAACCACAAGAATCTTAATGAAAGCAGCATGAGGCAAACACCTCTTCTCTTTTCCTACAGTGTGACTTCTGGATACCCTCCCAGCTTCCTAAAGAGTGACTTTAGCCTGGAGAAGGGTGTCCTATAGGTGACATCAGCTAACAGGGACAGTCAGTCCCCACCTCCTTCTATGTCCCCTTAATCTCCCTCCAGTACCTGGGGCCTGTCCTCGTGCAGCCTTCTAACCATGCACAGTCCATGTTTCCCACATGCAGGTCCCTAAATCAGGCATAACTGACCCTTCCTTGTCCATTTCCTTTGTCCTCCTGGGTTCCAACATCTGAGTTCAGGGGTCACTGTGTCATGCCTCCCAGGTGGTGGCTGCAGTCTAACAGGGGTCTCCAAAGCCTTTGGGGACAACCCAGTGCAGGAAGATGTTTCGGGGGAAAAAATTTTTTTTTAATTCTTAAATTGACTTGATGGTAAGAGAGCTGGAGTAGGAGTAAGGAGTCTGGATTCTGGTCCTGGCTTTGCTTATAACTTGCATGTGACTTCAGTCTTCAGTTTCTTCAGCTGCAGAATAAAAGAAATGGATGAGATCAAAGGCTTCCCAGGGAGCCCTGTTGAGATCATCACCTTGGAAACCGCTAGGGAAAAGGTGATGACACCCGGGGCTCTGCTTCTCCGCTCTCAGTGCAACCCCACTGGTACCTGTTTTATCCACTGAACATACTTGTCAGATGCTGTCTTAACCCAGGTTCCCCAAGAGGCAGAGTTTGAGGCAGAAGCGTACGTGCTAACATTTTAGGAGGGCATGCAGTGCCAGGAAAGCTGACGGCAGGAAAATGTAGTGAGACCAAGAAGAATGAAGAGCGCACCAGTGCATTGCTGAGCTGGCCACGATGAGCATCAGCTGATGCAAGGTCTTGTGGAACCTTCTTTAAAGAGGCCACGTGACGCTTAGGGCAGTTCCTCCAAAAGAAGGAAAAGATTGTGCCAACCCGTTTCTTGTTGGTCAAAGGTTCACTCCATGGAGTGCCCAACACTCCTGCACTTCTGAGGCCAGAATTTCAGAGGAGGTGGGGGGTGCAGCTGGCTTGTGCTGAAATGAAACAAGTGGCGAGGACCTGGAAGACAGCTGGGGCTGAGAGGAGCTAAGGCAGTGCATTAAAAAGTATCTGGAATAGCTATAATTGAGAAAGAGTGAGAGCATCTGCTAAAATAAAAGTCAAAACCACTGGGCTGCATAATCTGAAAGGGCCTTTCCAGCTAAAAAGTTCCTTGTTGCTGTTCACTGAAATGGCAGCTCAGAGGACCGAGATCATTTACCAAACTTGTGTGCAGGAACTGAGTCCCCAGAGTCACAAGCAATATCCCTGGAAATGTGTATCCTTCCTCGGCCAAGAGTTGGGCCAATGTTGCTCTACCCCACATCCCTGAGAATTTCCGTGCAATCTTAGGGCTCTACAGATGGTGTTTTTAAAGAGTCCTGTTAGGAGGGGACAGAGAGGGACTCATATCTCGCCAGGCTGCAGGGAGTGTTCATCTTGTTCTTTCAGGAAAGCCTGGCTTCCCTGCCAGCCTGGACTCCCTTCCACTCAAGGGCCAGCTGCTGGCTTCAGACAGAACACAGATTTGTTGGTATTTAAGGGATTGGAGGATTAAATGGGTCAGAGAGGCCCCCTCCACAGAGCCTCATCCTGTAACGGCTAGAAGCCCACCCCCGGGTGTTACTAAATCCATGATCACATCCTGGGTGCCTCATGTCCCTTCCTTAGGAGCCCAGCAGGCTTTCAAAGCGAATGAGAAATTGGGGTCAGTGCGGGGAGCCTCATCCTTCTTCTCAGGTGTGAACACAAATCAATCTGCAGATGGAAGATCTGACTCACCAAAATTAAACCTGGGATCCAGGCTGCCATTACAGGACCTTGGGCACATGACTTCAGCTCAGGAGACTGATTTCTCTCTGCTTCAGAATAAGGACATCACCGGCTCTGCTTATGAGTGGTGGGAAGCAAGTGAGAGGAAAACAAAAAAGCTACAAATCAAGCACACCCTTCAGTGGAGCAGGAGGGGAGCAGTCCTCCTAGGGAGGGGCCTGGACTGCTAACTGTGAGCACTGCAGTGTGGCCTGTGGCCTGTGGCCTGCTAGAGCCCAGTCTGAGGCCGATGGACAATGACTGGGTGCAGGCACCTCCCACAGCTGAGATAGGACATTTGGGCTCTGGTCAAAAGAAGAAAAAATCCAATGCAAGTGTCCCAAGAGAGAACGCAGGGAAGAAAGTAGAACGGAAATAGGCATAGTTCTGACCCCTCACATCATGGAGGAACCATCAGGTCTAGGAGACTACTGTAAATAACAAACCCACCAGAGCCAGGCTCTGCGCTAAGTGCTGCACGTGCATCACTTCACTTAATCATCACAACCCTAATGGAGTAGATGCCACAGCCTTCTTGTTACAGATGAGTAAACTGATGCTGAAAGGGGCTGAGCAATTTGCCTAAGTGTCACAGATACGGAGGAATAGTTCCAGGATTGAAACACAGGCAATCTGCCTCCCAGACTCTTGTCGGTCTTTGCCGCTTGTCTCTCTTCTCACAGGGACGCTGTCTCCCCAGGAAGCCTCTTAGTTTCTGATTGTCATCTATATTCCCTTGACACACAAGTCTGTCCACCCTGCTCACAGGTCTGGCCTAAGCTTCAGATCTAAGGGTACAACAGCCTTCAAGATTAATGTGCCCAAGGATGAATTGTCACAGCAAACCTGCTTCCCACTTTCCCACCATGACATTCAAGTCACAGCTAGGATACTTCCCACATGACTCAGTGTCATCAGCTTTCTCCTTCCCACTGTCACTGTTAGCAGTACAACCCCCTCACTAGAACAACTACGCCCCTCACGCCCTACCTCCCCGTCTCCAGTCTTGCCTTCTCTCATCTATCCCCACGCTGTGACTGGAAGGGTCTAAAACGCAATATGGCTGTGCCACGTCCTTCCCCTATACCCTTATACAGCTCCCGATTGTTCCCAGGATAAAGGCAGGGGGCCTTACCCGGGTCAGCTGTTACTCTTCGACCCAGCACTCTGGCGCTCTCACTGAACTTGTTTCCGTTCCTCCAAACACCAGCATACCTCTGGATGCCGGCCTTCCTTCCCGGCTGTTCCCACTGCCTGGAACATTCTTCCCCACATCCCGTCGACCCCTGCTCAGACCTCACTGTCAGCTCATAAGCACAAAGTCACGTCTGGGACGTCTGTCCGCCAAAAGCCTGTCCGACCCCAAGGCCTCCAGGTCTCTGCCCGCACAATATTCAGTACTTTCTGCTTCACACCACTTACCAAGCCTCCGCTCCCACCCCCAAACCCTGCTAGAGCGGGGTTTATCTGTTCCTGCCCGAAGATGCGCTTCTCACAGCAAGAATTTAGCACACGTTCAAATGGGAGAAAGGGAAAATGACATTTCCAATGCGACAAAGTCCAAGAGGGTGACAAAGACAGAATTGAAATCTGCATCGCCTCCCCGCCCCCCAAACTGAAAGAATTAGAGGGTCCTCTGAGTGCTGCCCTCCTATCCCACCGATTATTTATTTCCTAGCGTCGAGGGCCAGAGAGGTGACATTAAAAAAAGCAACGTCTTCCATCTGAGGAAGGAAGGACATGAATCCCCCAATCTTCCTTGTCCTCACAAACTAGGGAAACCCGCCTCGCCTCCTCCCTAGGGGAGCATTGGGGTTAGCCTTTCCGCAGGTCCCTACCCAACTCCAGACCAATACTCCGGCCTCCACCGGCTCTGGGAAAGCTTCCCAGCCCCGCAACGCTGGCGACCTCAGCAAACCCCAGCCCCTACTTGTCCAAACGCGCAGCTCAGACGGGCCTCCGCCCCCGCTTCTCGCCGGAGACACCGAGATCGCTGCGTTCTTCCCACCCACCGCGAGCTCGCCCCGCCTTCTTTGCTCCTTGGGTCCTTTTCCGGGTCCCTCCCTCTCTAACCTCCGCCGTCAGCCCCGCCCCTGCGTCTCTGTCTCCCGCCCAGCCTCAGGCCTTGAGCTCTCCCGCCGGCCCGCCCCAGCCCGCCCCAGCCCGCCCCCGCGCGCGGTATTTGTTGTCGCCGCCGTCAGGCCAGTCGGGCCCTCTTTGACTTAGGAAAGCAGGGCCGAGGAGCCGGCCGGCTGGCGGCGGGGCAGCCATGGAGGGCACGGCGCGGAGGCGGCAGCAGCCAGGAGCGGCGGGCGCGCAGCCGGGCGCCTCCTTCCTGCAAGCCAGGTGGGCGCGCTCCGGCGGAGTGCAGCGGAACCGCGTCCCCGCCACGTGATGGGTGCGGGCGGCCCGGGTGGACCGGCTGGCTGCCCGGCACGGCTGGAGCGGGCCCCGGGTGGGTCAGAGGCCGCCTGCGGGTCGGGCTTCCCTGCTCTGCCTTTGCAGTGCTCTGTCGCCTGAGCCTCGCCTCCCATTTCGTTCTTTTCTTGGAGGCGCTCCGAGACCTGCGACCTGGCCGGTGCTGAGACAGTCACTCAGCTTGGAAGACCTCCCCAGGGGCCTTAAACACTCCGGGCAGGGGCGGCAGTCCCAGAGGACACCACTGCTCACTCGGGACCCCGACGCGCTTGCAAACCTGAGTGCCACCTCCAAGATCTCGGGACCCCGCAACCCTGATTAGGACGTGGATCCTGGTGTTATTGAGGAAGCTCACTCCTTGTCCCGGGGAACCCAAGATTGAGAATGTAAATGTAAGAGGGAGAAGTGTGGACGCTCCTCTCCAGAGAAAGAATGAGGAAGGGCTCTTTTCACGTGGTCGCCGTCTGGTTCTCAGCAAGGGGAAGACGTTATTGGTTGATGTAGTTGGGACCAGGCAGGGTGGAGGAAGAGGCGCGGAAGCCACCTTTTAACCTTTCCCTCCATTCTGCTTTAATCCCATTTAACAGACTAGAAACATTGTAGATCAGCAGGCATTCATTGATCATCTCTAGTGCCCAGTGCTGTGCCAGGCACTACGGGGGTGGACAGGGTGAAGCCGGGAGGGGCTCACAGTAAGGAAAGAGGAAGGAGCTTCGAGGGCTTCGTGGAGGAAGGGGTACTTGAGCTGATTCGCAAAGGACTCGGTAGGTGTCACAGGGAAAAAAGGCTGTTCCAGAGGGAGTCTGGGGAAGGGCAAAGAATGCGATGGTCCTGGAGCTTTCTAGGTGTACAGTGGCAAGAGGATGCAGACTGGTTGTGAAGGACCTTTAATGGCCAGGCTAGGACCAAAGTGCAGAATTTAAGGAGACACTCTAGGGACATGGTACAACCCCGAGAGTGAGTGCCTACTTAAGAGTTGGGCTCTGTGTGCCTCACACTAGTTCCTGCTGTAACTGGCAGGTTAAGGATGCTGCCTTTATTCTGTAGGTACAGGAGAGTCACAGAACGTTCTCTTGAGAACTAGTGTGCTCAGAGTTGATCCTAGGAAACTTGTGGTATGATTTCTGATGAGGTGGGAAGTCTGAGGCTTGGCTGAGGATAACTCTTTCTCCTGCTACTGAGGGACATCTCGGGTCAGGATCCCTTTCACGCTGGGAGTCTGAGTGCTCTGAACTGTGGGAGCTCAATTAGAACAGTCTGTGGGTATCAGATGTGGTCACCACTTTCTCTCAACATGTGGGCCTTCCATGTGCAGCATCTTAGTCTTTTTGTATTTTGCATATGGGGAAACTGAGACCCAAGAGTTTACATCATTTGCTGGCAAGAACCAGGGCCTAAACCCAGGGCTTCTGACTTCTGGCTTCTGCTCCTACTACTACACTTTAGCTGCTAAGGAGCAATGCCTCTCTTTACTCCTGCACGGGCTCCCTATCAGTTAGGATGCTCCCTGGGGATGGGGTGAGAGGCTGGCTCTCTCTCAGGGTGTCTCTGTCCCCTTCACTGGGTGCCTCTGGGCCTGTTCTCCATATCATTGCTGCTCTTCACAGGTAAAATCATCCTAATTCCTAGGATGCATGAATTTCCTCTGCTGCATCCTTACACACCTCTAATGACAAGGTGCTCATTACCTTTTAAGGTAGCCCATTCCTGCTCTGTTGACAGGTTTTTTTTTTTGGTTGGTTGGGGTTTTTTTTGTTTTGTTTTTTGGGTTTTTTTGGGGTATTGTAATCAAACTAATACATGCCTGAGATCCAATAAAATACCCAGAGGGTTAGAGTAAAAAGCAACGGTCCCCTGTTTTACTTCTTTCTGGCACTAGACACAACCATGTTAGTGTCTTTTAGCTGTTTCTACCCATTAGTCATATATCTAAATAATAATAATAAACACTATGTAGCAGTTTCTGTGGACCATGCCCTGCTCTTAAGTTTTTGCACATATTTTGCACATCACCCACAACTCTTGATGTTGGATCTATTATCCCCTATTTTACAGATGAGAACACTGAGGCCCAGCACGTGAGTAGCTTGCGGAAGATCTGGTTAGTGGTAGAGCTGGGATGTGAACCTGAGTAGTCTCCAAAGTCTGCACTCTTAAAAGTTCTGTTTAGCTGCTATTTCTTGGTTTATCAGTTTCACCTTTTAAGCTAATGTTTACCAACTGGCTTCTTGCGCCTGTGAGTTAGCTTGCTTCTCCCTCCCTCACCTTCACAAGATGATGATTTTAATCACTATTTTTAGTTTTTCTCTTTGTTACCATTATAGCTTCAGAGAATACTATATACCATTATTTCTTTTTTGGTCAGTTGTAGGCGGCATCTCTTGATAACTTTTCAAAAGGAGAATGTTAGTCCTCTACCTACTCTACCCTTTGGCTATCTTTACCCTTTCCTCCAACTCTTGTTATACATAGTTTACTTTAATGTTGTCAAGGTTGACAATATTCAGCTGCTGTTTTTTAACCATATTGTCTTCAGTGTTTTTATCTGGATTGATTCTAAACTTTGAAAATCAACAGATTTCCATTAAATAAGCCATATAGTGTTCCCTACAGAGCCAAGTCATATTTAACAGTTACATTGGCTTTCTTACATTGCTTTTGTTTTTCTTAGAGTTTCTAATTGCCTTTTTTCCTCCTATTTGCCTTTATTTTCTCATATTTTGTGGAAACTTTGCATCGTGTCAGGTATTTCACCATTCTTTATATAGAACCTAACTTACTCTGTGAATAGCCCTCTTCGTGGTCCCTGCTTTACCCCACCATGGCCAAGGCCTCTTCCTTTCCTGCTAGGCAGTCTCGCAGATGCTGCCGACCGCTTTGAATATTTCAGCTGCATGGTATGCGCTCCCCAGCTGTTGCGGTATCAGTTTCCCCATATGGTAGACTTGGAACCCCGTGGAGGAAGGAAGGCCAGCCGTGTTTCGGGTTACCTGCCATTGTGCTGTCACTCTTGTTCTCAGCAGTAGTCTGTGATGATGGAGACCTAGAGCTGGCATAGACTTGGGGGCAGGGGGTGTCAGGGTGTGAAGTCTGTGGAGTCAGCAACTTGGGACAAGCTTATGGTTGTTGGTCCCCAGGACAGGGTAGGCAGGAGAAGATGACTTCACCCTCCGTGATCTGCCTGCAATGGTCAGAGATCCAACAGCAAAGAACAGATGCTGATCAGCGTTTCCCAAGTTGGGAGTCTGCCCCATACCTGTCCCATTTTCCCTGCCCTGCTAGGCCAGACTGGACTAATGGCAGGGATCCCCCTTAACTGAGGTACCTCCTGAGGGGAAGGAGGAAGTAGTTACTGAGTCCCTATGTGGACACAGCTTCCTGAGACCCACGCCTACATGCTTTTCCCATTAAGAAACGCCGATTTATTATTCTATCCATCCATGCATTCATTGGTTTGTTTCTTGTATGTGCCCTGACTGGGGATAGAACCTGCACCCTTGGCGTGGCAGGATGACGCTCTAACCAACCAAGCTACCTGGCCAGGGCAGAAACATCATCTCTTACCAGAAGAAGCAGGGAATGGGCAATGGGGTAACCAAGGAATAGTCGCTACAGCTCTTTACTACAGTAGGCTTTCAAAATGCCTTTATTCCCTGTACCAAACATCCTTCTCTTGGCCCAGTTTGGAGGTTTCTAGAGCAAAACACTGCGGGGTCTTATCCTCCTCCATCCAAGTTCTTCAGACCCAGCGGTTATCCTTATCTGCTGCTCTTGGAGGCCTTGCCCCGTGGTCACTAAGGGGGAAGGGCAGGGTGGAGCCTCCATACCAGTCACTGGGCTCAGATCCCTGAGCAGTCCTCCCAGCCAGTTTCTGCACAGCTATCCAACCTGAGGCTCAGCCAGCCCTCCGCCCTTCTCTTTCTCCCTTCCATAAACCGGGCATCTCAACTCCATGCAGTGCCTTTCTCATTTCCACCTCCAGGCCTTTGATCCTGTTCTCCTGTTGCTTTTCTGCCTGGTTAAATCCTCCCGTCCATGCTTTGGGCTCCCTTCCTCCTGGACTTCCTGTACCTCTCCAGGCTGCCCTGACCCCTCTCTAACTTGACCTCCTAATGTGCTGCACAGCATATTCTAATGAACAGAAACAGAATAGCAAGCAATGAAGAGCACAGGTCTTAAATTCATGGCGACCCGGGTTTGAATCCTCTGCTCTTCCGCATTCTTGGGTTGCAGGTGACAGAAAGCCAGTGTGAACTGAAGCACCGTCAGCAAAGTGGAACGTATCGGCTCATGTGGCCAAATCACGGGCCTTGGGGATGCCTGGACCTGGGTGTGTGAAGACTCTCAGAGCTTTTTCTCCTGCTTTTCCTTGGTCCTTTCAGCAGGGCTGCTTCATCCTCACTGGGCTGTCTCTTGAAGCTGGAACCTCGGCCACAGGCAGCTCTAGGTTTGCATCTTAGCCCCCCAGCACCAAAAGGGAAGGAGGGCTTTCCACAAACTCTAGTTAGAAAAGTCCCACTCGGTCCAGCCTGGGTTACTGGCCATCTCTGTGGCTAAGGAAACTTTTTTTTTAATTGATTTTAGGGAAAGGAAGGGGAAGAGAGAGAGAAAGAAACGCCGATTTGTTATTCTACCCATCCATGCATTCATTGGTTGTTTCTTGTATGTGCCCTGACTGGGGATAGAACCTGCAACCTTGGCGTGGCAGGATGACGCTCTAACCAACCAAGCTACCTGGCCAGGGCAGAAACATCATCTCTTACCAGAAGAAGCAGGGAATGGGCAATGGGGTAACCAAGGAATAGTCGCCGCAGCTCTTTACTACAGTAGGGGTGACATTGGCTAAGCACTTATTGCATGTAAGCCTCAGTCTCCCCATCTGTAAAACGGGGGTAAAAGCCCTGCTTCCTCGTATTGCTGTAAGGATGAGATGAGACCGTACAGGTGAGGCTCTTGGCATAGCACACAGTCAGACTCCATCCGCGGTGGGGACACTGCGTAGAGGGGACAGGAAGACTCCGCTGACCTGGGAGGGCCCGCGCCACCTGTCTTGTCTGTGACCAGAGGATGATGAGATCCCTGGGAGCTCGCCTTCCCAGCCTCACAGTTGCTCTGCCAGCCCAGTGTGGACCATCCTTGGAATTGGCTGTAAAGGATTCTGGAAAGTCAAGGAAGCAATAGCAGCCTTGACAGGAAAACCTCTGGGGTGCCTTTAAGCTAATGTTTGCCACTAAAAAGAATGAGTAACTGGTAATTGAGACTGTTTCAAACCAGCTAGTAATCACTGAACCTAAACCAGGTACTGAGCTGAGAACTCTGGAGAATACAAATCCATGCCACACCGTGTCTGTTCTCAGCATAAATGGAACAATGAAACGCACACCTCAATCATCTTAAGAAGTAGTGGGCTGCTTGTCCCTGGACATGTGCAAGTAGTGGCAGGGATGCTGAGAAGTGGATTTAGACTGACGGGAAGGTGGGTGAAGTGAGAGAAACCAACGGTCACTCCTCTTTCTGAAGGTCTGGATAAGAGAGGAACACTCCCGCCCTGTGATGGGTCAGGCTGGGAGTCAGAGATGAAGCGCTCCCTGTAGTGGAACTGGTGGGGCTTTAAGAAAAGCTTCATCGGGGAAACCTTCCTGGAGAAGGCGGCACATGCACTGTGGCCCTTGAACTTCAGCTCAGCTGTAAAGAGCAGAAGGCTAAATGTTTTGCCGGGGTGGGGGGGGGGGCATCCAAAGATGTATTGTCGTGTGGTGCTCCACTTTTTACCGTGGCTGTCACACCAGCTTGTCCCTGCTGGCTTCCTTCTTAGGTTTCACTGTAGACTGGTGGGAAGAGGGATACCAGCAGCCCCATTCATACCGGCTCCTGGTTCAGGAACCAAGTGGAGGGAGGCCCTGTTCATCCAGAGTCTACAGTCTTTAAGGAAAATTTCACGAGAGGGCTGCACCAATAAGGTGCAGCTCAAGTCACACGCCCATCCCACAGACCAATCATGGGGCACAGTGATAGGATGGGGGTTAAAAATAGAAGCTCTGACACCTAATCATGTAGATTCACATATGTGGCAATGTAACGGGGCAAGTTACTTAATACCTGGGGTCTCCATTTTTTCACTTGTAAAATGGGGGTAATAGCCCAACCTCAAAAGGTTTCTGTGAATATTAAAACGATTAAATGAGATGATACATGTAAACAGCTCTAATACTGCCTGGAATACACCAAGTGTTCAATAAAGGTTAGCTGCTACCATCCATCATCATGTTCCATGTTTTTCAGCTGCGTTTGTATCCTTTGCCCCATTTGATTTCCTCATCCTATAGGTGAGGCAAGCCGACACGTACTATGCCTGTTTGGCAGCTTCCTTCCTGGATCCCAGAGGAGCTTAAGTCAGGGCAGCTGGAGTTCACTCCCCGGCCACCTTCCCGTTGGCCACAGGCCCAGACCCCAGTATTTCCTGCAAAATCCTTTTCCTAGAACTTAATTATGTGTGTTTCCTTCTGCTCCCAAATCCCCGGACCTTTGTGTGGCTCGCTGGTGGCGGGCGGCGGGGAGATGCCCATGGGAGGAAGGGAGAGCACTGATGCTCGCCTGGTTCGTCTGCAGGCACAGCTCCATCAAAGCCGATGAGGCCGCCGGCACGGCTCCCTTCCACCTCGACCTGTGGTTCTACTTCACTCTGCAGAACTGGCTTCTGGACTTTGGCCGCCCCATTGCCATGGTGAGTGTGAAGCTGTGGACAGCCCCAGCCAGCAGTGAGGAGGCTTAGTGAGACTTGAATTAGCTGAGTGACCTTAGGCAAGTCATTTCCTCTACTGGTAAACAGCAAGAATAGGCCTGGATGGTTTCATGTCCTTTGACTCTGCGACTGTGGCGAGGCAACTGCCAGCAAGCAGGGGAAGGGGTCAGGGAGCCTGAGCACTCACACTGTGCCACCACTTCTATCTCACCTCCAGGCCACCAAACTAGAGGAGTATGGGAAGGGAGGCAGAGCCTCCCCCCTGGCCATCCCCACAGCCTCGGAATAGTAGTATTTTTCTGGAGGTGGAGTATAGGCTGATTTTCCAGATAATGTATGACTCTGAGTCTCAGGTAATTTTTATGCTACCTGGTGAAACTCCCCTTCCCTCCAAGGCTACTTCATGTGTCAGTGTACAGTGGTGGCCTCCACAGAGGAGATTAATACTGAACAAGCACCAAAGCCCCTCACTTGTAATAGACAGATGGATAGACAGGTAGATAACAGAATGTGAAAAAATTGAATGAGGTACCACCACGTACCAAGCTGTTAATTTTTGTGTGGCGGTGGTAAAAATAATATCCTCTGCTGAAACTGACCCCTTATACATGCTAGTGATAATGTCAATTAGCAAAGTCCTTTTGGAAAGCAGTTCATCAAGGTGATAACTACTACCTAGAATAGTGCCTAGCACGGTAAGTGCTCAGTACACTTTCAGTGAGTGAATAATAATCGTAGTAAGGTAGAAATAGCAGCTAACTTACATTAAGTGCTTACTTTGTTCTAAGCTCTATGTGGTTAAACTTATTTAGTTCTCACATAAACACTACATTAATCTCAACTTTATAGATGAGAAGACTGGAGGACAGAGAGGGTAACTGGCTCAAGCTCACCCACTGGCAAGCGGGCGAGCCAGCATCTGCACCCAGGCACTCCGGCCCCACAGCCCACCCCCTTCCCTTCATGTGTCTCTCCAGGACCCTGATATGTTCATCCCTTCTGACACAGTCAGATCTCTTCCAAGAATCTACCCTGAAGACGTAATCAGCCAGAGACATAACCTCTCTACCCAAAGATGTTCATTTCAGCATTGCTTACAATAGCCAAAACTTGCAAGTGATTTCAGTGTCCAGTAGCTGGGACTGGGTCAATCAGCTTCACTGTACCAATTATAGAGAATACTACCTGGCCATTAAGCAGGGATAATGGATACTATAGAGCAACCTGAAATGTTTAAGGAGAAAAGAGGTCCCTAAGTGGCATGAATTATTGACTGATTACAAGTCAGTTACGATCCTAAGAATCTTTTTTGTTCTTTATTTTTATTGTTTACGTTATTACAGATGTCCCCATTTCTTTACTCCATAATCCTAACAATCTTATTATATACATGTTTCAAAGACGAAGGGGACGAAGAAGAGCTTTCCTGGCAGTGTGTCGGGGAGGCATTATGGTGGATGCTAGTTCTCCTTTCTGCAGACTTTTTTTTTTTTTTAATGTAGGAGAAAGAAAAGGGACAGAGTCAGGAGTCAGGGCATCTGATCAGGCTTTGGGTGACCATGGGCAAGCCATTGTCACTTGGGCTTCGGTTCTCTCATCAGCAAGAAGACTGGCAAACTAGCTGCTCTGAGCCCCCTTCCAACATGAAGGTCCCACATATCGGAGGACAAAGGAACTGCCCGTCAGACTGGTGTTCTGGGGACAGGAGAGATGGGGCCAGGACCAGGCTCATGGCTTTGCTTACTCATTAGGACTCAGTCTCACCCTGCCTAGAGTTGGACTTGTGGGGAGAAGACACATTTGAAAAGCTCACGTATACACGGGAGCTTTTCAAATGTACGCACGATAGCCCCAAACTTCTAATAATTACAAAATTAAACTATTTACCAGTTTTTAAAGTAATAAATATTAGCTGTAGCAAGTCAGTTCACACCCAGGTGTATAAAGTAGTGAGACTCTCCCTTTCCAGTCCTGCCCCTGACAGTTTGGAGGACACTCTTCCACTCCTTTCTCTACTCATACAGACACACGTGCACATCCTTTTTGACAGGCGGTATGTTTTACAGGTTTTTATAACATATAACACATCATTTCTGTTAATGGCTACTGAACCTTCTTTATCTATAATAAATATGTACTATAGTAGATTTGATTAGTCCTATTTGGTTGAAGAGTTGGCGTGTTTCTGGTATTTTGCTAACACAAAGAGTATTTCAGCCACCATACAGGTCTTGCTATAAATAAAGATAAAGTGCTACACACAGGAATAAGAGAGAAAGAAAGAAATTGAGATTTCTGTATCCTAGGAATTGTATTTCCGCAGATTAATCTCTTATCCAGTGTGGCAGTTTTGAATTACAAGAGTAAAAATTTTTAAGTTTTTATTGAAATTTTGGGTCATTACACATGTTCTCAATCAACGGATACTAGAAGTATAGGTTGGCGGTGTGTGTGTGTACAATACTTTGACCGTGAATAAGGATGTTCACTCTGACCTCCACAAAGCCAGGACTTCCTGGGGTAGACCAGAAGGATGAACTGCCCCTGGCCTGCTTCCTTTCTCCAGGGAGGTAGGAAAGGAAGAACTAAGGCTACTTTGGAAAACTCACTTATTTTCTCCTTTGTTCCCTGATGTATTCTCTTGATCCGGTTTGGAAGTAGTCCATCTGCTCAGTGGATAGGGCATTTTTCCATACCTGGGCCTAGTAACCAGAAGAGCTTGTCATCATCAGAGGACGTGGAGTACCTGATCCTTAAGAGTCCCTGTAGACCACTTGGGCTACATTTCTTATGTTACAGATGGGGAAACCCTAGAGAGGGGAAGGTCACCAGGAAAGTTGGTGGCACCAATGAGTCCCAAAGGAGCCTCCAACTACCAGGCCAGTACCCAGGGACATTTATTTAGTACCCACTGTGAGAGGCACAGGCTCAGGCCTGGATTTGTGTGTACCGTGTGCCTGGGGACAAGTCCATTTGAGTTCTCTGCAACTCTGCTTCTCTGTCCAGGGACTGCCAAGGGGATCCCAAGAGATCACAGAAAGAATGAAGAGTGTGTGAAGGGGGTGGGGGCTGACTCCCCAGGGGCCTCGCAGGGCTCTGCCTGGCGAACCCACTCCTCTCCTTGCTCCCCAGCTGGTGTTCCCTCTCGAATGGTTTCCGCTCAACAAGCCCAGCGTGGGGGACTACTTCCACATGGCCTACAACATCATCACACCCTTCCTCCTGCTCAAGGTACAGTCCCAGTGTCCCTGCCCTTCCTTCCCACCCTCACTGCCACCTCCAGCCAACAGGGAGCTGGTACCAGCCCTGGGCATGCCCTAAATCAGGCTTGCCTGTGATAGGGGGACACACCAAGAGCCTGGGGGCCCAGGGGAGGCAGGGTGCCTCTGGCTGGGAGGGGTGGAGACGGCCTCCCCAAGAGGAGGTGTTTGATTTGGGGTGAAGGAGGAGAGGCCTTCAGGCAGAGGGCCTAAGGACAAGGCCATGCTCAAGAAACCAGAATACATTTTGGGAGGCTGAAACAGGAGAGGCTGGGTTGCCCTGGAAGAGGGCAGGGACCAGTTAGAAAGGCAGGCGAGGGCCAGGTGACAGGAAAGGCAGGAGCAGAGGGGGAGCTCTATCCTCTGGCCTGGAGACCCTGACTTCGAGATGCCACTGGGAGCAGACTTAGCCAGGGCTGCCAGCTTTGCACTTTGCCACAATGAGGGCTCTTCACTATCACCATCTACTATCCCCATCATTTTGTTTTTAAATATTTCAAACCTCTGAATGTCAGAAATGTATAATTGCAGAATTCAGAGGAGTCCCCAGTTAAATAATGTAACTTTGGAAGCACCCTCCCTTATCCCATCCCTGTCATTCTTTTTGTGCTTGCCATGGACCAATTGCACAGAAATCCGTGGGTCTCTTCAACAGGCCCGCCCAGCCACCCAGGGGCACAACCCTGGGAGGTGGGAGGACTGAACCTGGCGCCCCGGCGTCTGGGTGGAAGGCCTAGCTGTCACTTCCAGGACATGGCTTGTGTGTCACCTTGAGCAATGAGCGGGCCCCTCTTTCCTCTCTGGGGTACGGAGGTGCTCTTTCCATGGCCCTGCTGGATTTGCAGGTATCATGTGAGACTCCAGAGGCTGGGATGGCCCACTAAAGGGACCCACAATTTATGAGTGACTTCCCAGCGGGTGGCGCCCATCCCACCCCAGATGCGAGTGAGGGAAGCAGGCAGAGGTGTCTCCTATTGTGATGGAGGCGGGATTAAAGCACTGGGACCCCCTGTGACCGCAGCTCATCGAGCGATCACCCCGCACCTTGCCTCGCTCCATGGTCTACGTCAGCATCATCACCTTCATCATGGGCGCCAGCATCCACCTGGTGGGCGACTCCGTGAACCACCGCCTGCTCTTCAGTGGCTACCAGCACCATCTGTCAGTCCGTGAGAACCCCATCATCAAGAATCTCAAGCCCGAGACACTGGTGAGGCCGCCTCGCCCACTGCACCTAAACCCTGGAGGCCAAAGAGATGCCCCCGCCCGTCACTGTGCCGACCCTCTGCCGAGGGCAGTCTGCTAGTGAGGGCACTGTCGCAGCACAAGGCAGGACACCTGTTATTAGGAAATGCGCGCTGAATTCCAGCTGGGCCCCGATCCCGACCACCAGAGGGCAGCGTGTGGGGATTGGGGAAGGGGGCGGACGTGGGGGAGAGTGGCGACGAAGTGGGGGGGCTGTGTGGCCACCCCTCTCACCCTGTTACCCCTATACCCTCAGATCGACTCCTTCGAGCTGCTTTACTACTATGACGAGTACCTGGGCCACTCCATGTGGTGAGTGATGGGGCCAGTCTGCCTACGCAGGGGCCCTGGCGCCCCGCCAACTCTTCCACGGGCCTCAGAGACACCGGGCCAGATTCTGTGCGCTTCGGGCCTCCAGGCGTCGAGCGCGGCAGCTGGAATGGGTTCACCACCCCTACGCGGGCGCGGTGAGGTCCGCTCGGGTGAGGTGCCCCGGCCCTGGCCCCTCCGCCGCCTCCTGCCGGACGGTGCCTGCGATGGCCACTAGAGGGCAGCGATCAGCCGTCCCGCCCTCGCCCGGAGCCTGCAGCTGATGGGGGAGGAGGAGGCCTTCGCACTGATAAACATCCCCCCCCACCCCGCAGGGTGATGCGGGGCTGAAGACCCCCACCATGTCGTGCCGCGGCCTTTTGAGGGTGGAGGAGAGAAGCAGCTGAGAAGGGCCAGCTAGACCAGATTGGGGGGGGGGGTGCTGTTTGTTCTCCCCCCACTCAGAACTCCGAGGGAGAGCCCCTCCCCCTACCCCTCCACTCCGCAAAATTGGGGGTTCAGCCACAGGACATTCAGAGCCTAAGCTGGGAGCAGTCACCCAGTCATCTGCTCCAACCCCACCCCATCCCCCCACTTACGCAGGATAAGCTGGGGCCAGTGGAAGAAGGTATGAGCATGGGCTGACAGCTAGGTAGTGACAGCGACAGCCCTGGACCTGGGGGCCTCGCTCCTCTGTGGGGTGGGCTCTCAGGTCAGACGTGCCCTACACTTGTCACTGTGTTTCCAGGGACTTTCAGAGCCTGCAGGGTTGCTCCTGCTGGCTTGGGGGGTCCTGGACAGGCCTCTTGCCAGCTCTCCCTGACCTTTGCCAGAAGAGCCTTCCCGTGGAAGGCTGGAGAAGGGGGAAGGAGAGAGGCACAGAGGCCTGAAATAGCAGGAGAGGACAGGGGACTGTATGAGGGCCAAAGGAGGGGGAACGAGAAGGGTGGGAGAGGAGACAAGAGGGGACGTGAGAAAGGAAAAGGGGTGCCTGTGTGGGGAGGAGAGAGGGCGGCCCTTTGGAGTGAGTTGGGGAGGGGAGTGCAAGGGTGAGGCTGTGGGCTGAGTGTGAGGGAAGGGGCTTCACAGAGCCCCTCGAGGCCCCCAGCAGGTGCTAGTCTGCTTTTTACTTCCCTGGACCTCAGGCCGCTCTCTGCTCAGCCCTGCTGCGTCCACCTGTTTCCAGCCAGTGAGAGGCCGGGGCTGCTGTAACCCTACAGCACCCTACCTCAGGCGTGACACCCTCTGACGCACATGCCATAAGTGAGGTGGCCAGAGCAGTGTGGAAGGGACATCCCGACCTCCCCAACCCCCGACCAGCCTGTGGGCCTCTTGAGTTGCATGTGCCCAGGGAGCCGGCCTCATCTCCCTGCTTCCTGTCCCACCCTGGACCCCCTGCACAGGAAAGGCTGGCAGGGACTGCAAGTGCGCTCCCCCAAACCAGGCATTTTGTAACCCATGAGGTGACACTGCACGGGATGTTGCAAGAAACCAGTACAAGGACTCATGGGAAAGAGGGTCTGGGAGGGGCAGCGGGGCAGGCCTCTGAGGCACTGGCTTCCCTGTTGCAGGTACATCCCCTTCTTCCTCATCCTCTTCATGTACTTCAGTGGCTGTTTCACTCCCACCAAAGCCGAGAGCTCAATGCCAAGGGCAGCCCTGCTCTTGATGGTGCCCAGTGGCCTGTACTACTGGTGAGTGGACACTGGACCAGGGGCACGGGATTGGGGGGACTCTCAGTGAGCCAGGCAGTAAAAATGCTCCTGACCACAGAGCTGGTATGTGACCCCAGGTGAGACCTCACCATATTGGAGCCCCTGCTTCCTCCTCTTCTGGGGGGCAGTGACAAGGGCATGTGGTGGCCAGTCTGTTACCCAAAAACCAGGCCTAAGGGTGCTGTCTCCATCCTCATGCCCCTCTACGCGGTGCCCCACCTGCCAGATCCCCAGTGCTACGCTGGGGCCAATAGACTCCATGTCTAACACCAAGCCCTGTAGAGCGCCCTGGGTCTCAGTTTCCTTCCCTGTGGAATGCAGGTAATACCTGCTTGCCTCCCTCTCAGGAGACAGCGAGAACCCAGGGGGAGACCAAGGGGGTTTATAAACTGCAAAGCACCACAGCGATGACAAAGACAGATACAGGGAAAGCCCATGGCCCGTAGTTCTCTGCCGGGTGTCTACTTCCCTCCAGCTCTCTCTTCCCATTAGAGAGGACCCAAGCTCGTACCCCTCCTCTGTCACTTCCACCCTGAAAACAGGCTCCCCCGTGGGATGGTGAGTGTCACGGGAAGGACTGACCCCTCTCTCATGGGAAGCCTTCATCAAAATGGAAAGGACCTTCTTACCTGGAGCCAGCTGCAACCCACCTCCAGGTGGGCTGAGAGGGTCTGCCAGGGTGAATCTGTATGCCCCCCTGAGGACAGGATTGAAAGAAATGAGTGTCAACTACAGCAAGAGGGAAGGAGGGTAGACGCAGGGAAGAGCTTCCTGCCCAGTTTGTACACACAGTGTGTTGGTGCGGTGATAGCTACAGCAGTAGCAGCAACCACTTGTTGAATGGTATGCTTTCCTAACAGAGAGGTACACAGCTCTTGTCAGGAACCTTGAAAACAGGGCCATTTATGCCCCCTTTCTGAGAAAGAAAACAGGCTTTAAGATGTCATGTAAATTCCCAATGTCACACAGCCACAGAGCTATAGTTCCTTGAGTGGAGTGGGTCACCATTGGGTTCTCTCGAGAGGCAGGGGAGCGGACCAGATAACCTCTTAGAAGCCCTCCAACAGGTGTCCCTGAGTTTCTGACCATGTGCTAGGTGATGCCTGTGGAGCTGCAGGGAACCCTGGGAGATCTGAGACGAGATTGTCCCAGCCTTCAAGGAGACAGTAGTCACAACCTCTATAAATTGCAGCTGCATTCCCAAACTCAGGTGTACATAGGAACCACGCTGGTAACGGGAATGCATCAAGCAGACATCAAGTGAGGCAACGGGGAATGGTGGGGATTGTGGCAAACTAGAGTAATGCTCTAATGGGGGCACCTGCTTTCCCCGCTAATTATTGTCATGTGGGAACACAAGTGGAATGTGACCAGAGAATCCAGAAATCCCTATTTTCAGGTATTTAGTTATTTAACTATTGGCAACAAACTCGACATTTTAAAAAATAGTAACTCTGCAAGCCAAGTCACTGTGCTGCACGTGGGCAGTGGCTCAGAGCGGGATGGCCCCGGGAGCCCCTCGTTAGACGAGCTGTTCTGACTGACTGGCCGGGGCCGCCTGGTACCCGGATGGAGGGGAGACACCGAGCAGAATAGGGCTGTCTTAGCGCCCACCTCACCTCACCCACTGGCCCTTTAGGTACCTGGTCACCGAGGGCCAGATCTTCATCCTCTTCATCTTCACCTTCTTCGCCATGCTGGCCCTTGTCCTGCACCAGAAGCGCAAGAGCCTCTTTCTGGACAGCAACGGCCTCTTCCTCTTCTACTCCTTCACCCTCACCCTCCTGCTGGTGGCGATCTGGGTCGCCTGGCTATGGAATGACCCTGTACTCAGAAAGAAGTACCCAGGCGTCATCTACGTCCCTGAGCCCTGGGCCTTCTACACCCTCCACATCAGCAGCCGACGCTGAGTCCCTGGCACCGGCCCCCAGTGCTCTGTTGGCAGGAGATGGGCCATAGCGGGGGCGTGAGCATGGGGGGCCGGGGCTGCGCACGCACGTGTGCATAACCATGACTGAGAACATGAGTGAGAGTACACATTGTGCACATGGAGAGGTAGGTGTGTATGTGCGCGCACATACGTGTGGAGTGTATCATCGGAAGACTCAATTGTTTTGTTCAAGTTTCTGTTTGGTTGGGATCTCTCCAGGGTGGGATTTAGTTTACAGGCAGTGTGTCCAGGCCAAGATATGAGCAGTGCCTTCCTGGGAGCCTGCCTGGAGTCGGGGCCCCTCACTCTCACTGCTCAGGGCTGATCCTTCCTTCCTGGGAAGCTCCTGGTACCTGTACAGGGGAGCCCTGGGTGGGGCTGTGGGGAGGGGATTTGGCATGTCATCTAGCCCCTGGCCCACTCCTCAGACCCACCCTGACCCTGGAAGCCAGGTTACATATGTTACATGAACTTTCTGTGTATTACATGAACTTTTTGTGTATTACTGAGCAAAACATGTCCCTTCTCTGGGTTTCATTTCCACTAGATGGGCCCAGGGTTCCAAAGTGGGTTGGTGGGCTAGTTGCAGTCTCCTCTTGGGACAGCCTGGGAATCGATGAGTAGTTTTATATGGTCACTGTCCTTGTACCCTGAAAGAGGTATGTGCACCCCAGGCCCTCACCCTGCCTCAGGTTGTGCGGGGTGTTGAGCCACCCGGCCCCAAGGATGCACATGCCAGCCTGCTCACCTACTCCCCAGCCAGATGTTGGGGTCTGGCGATAGCAGCTCTCCAGCCACCTCCCTCTGCCAGAAGCTCCGTCTCCATCTTCCAGGAGGGTCGTGGCACTCACTTCCTGTCAGCCTGACTGCAGGTTTTTGAGCTGCAGCTGATGGCAGGGTCCTCAAACCCTTGCCCTGTTCCCTGAACTCCTTTGGGGGGCAGGTATTGAGGCTCCCTGCAGTCGGCCTTGCCTCAGTCTGAACCTCAGGCCTCCTGCCAGGGCCCTGCTCCCAGAAAAGGAAGGCCTCATTCCCAGCAGGACGCACCCCCGCTTCTCCAGGCGCTATGTACAGGTCTCCTCACAGCTGCAGGGATCACGGCCGCGTTCCCAGCCAGCACTGGCCCACGTGTGCTTGTGGGTCTTGAGGGGCCTGTCTTGCCTTCCCTGGGCCCCACCTCCTCCTCTGTTCTCAGGGAGCCCCATGCCTCGGATTCTCCTTTCACGTTGGGGCCCCTCTGCAGCCACTAGGGTTTCCCCAGCCTCTGGTCGGTCCCTGTCTGCTGGCAGCATCGGGTGGTGAGAGGTGTGAATAAAGTCAGTGTGAAGCTGTGCCTGGCTGGGGCTGTTGCTTTGTGAATTTGGGAAGCAGGAGGGAGGGGGAGTCCCTAGAACAAGGTGAGGAGAGTGGCTGGTCTGGGGCCCGGGCAGGAGCCCTCAGCAGACCCCAAAGGCCCCCTCAGTCAGACCCGGCTGAGAGTGGTGCTGCCCCTGGCCCTCCATACCACTTTGTAGGGTCCCTGAGTTGACAAGTGGGGACAAGAAGGGCCTGGGTCAGTCCCAGACCTCTTCAAAGGAGTATGGGGCGGGGCGGGGGGGACTGGCATTGTCAGATAGGGCATCTCCTGGCCTGCCTCTCAGACATGCCACCAGCCCGGTTCAGAGGCTGAAGCAGAGAAGGTCACCTTGTAGGGGGGTTGGGGGCCTAGTTTGTTGAGGTTGGTACTTAGCCTTGGCCCAGTCACTTATATCGGTGCAGCGGCAGGCGGGGCACGGGCCTCAGCCCTTGATCTTCAAAGGTCTCAGCCTCTCCAGGCAGGCAGCCGGAACTTACCGGGCTACTGTTATCAAACACAGCGGAGGGGCAGCTGGGAAGGAGGCTTCCCACACCATTAAGCCCCAGTGCTCCTACCTGCCCAGCAACCTCATTTGATTCCTTCCCTACCTCAAGGACACTGCCCCTCCAATCCCTCTCGGGCCTAGTCACAGAAGGACTTAATAGGCATTGTCTGAGCAGGCACAGGCCTGGTTGTATGGGAACCTTGATAAGAAATCAGTAAAAAAAAAAATCAAATAAAATAAAAGGGATGAAAGTGATTTTAGTTGACCATTGAACAACACGGGTGTTAGGGACACTGGTACCTGCAGTCAAAATTCTGCAGGGAACTTTTATTTTTAATTGTCGCCCAAGGACAGGCCTATTGACTTTTAGAGAGAGACCAACGGATGGGGAGAGAGAGGGAGAGAAACATCAACTAGCTGCCTCTTGTGCACACACCAACCAGGACCAAACATAACCCCGGCATGTGCCCTGACCAGGAATTGAACTGGAGGCCTTCCAGTGTATGGCACAATGTCCAAGCCACTGAGCCACACTGGCCAAGGCCCACATATAACTTTTGACTCCTCAAAACTTAACTGCAGTCAGTCCTTTATATTCTTGGGTTTCACAACCATGGATCCAAAGAGCATTTTTGCTGACTATACTAATAGCCAACTGTTGACCAGAAGCCCAACAAATAACTGATATTTTGTGTGTTATATGTATTATATACTGTATCCTTACAATATAGTAAGCTAGAGGAAAGAAAATTTCATTAAGAAAAGGAAAAGAAAATATACTGTATTTATTGAAAAAAATCCACATATAAGTGAAGCTGCGTGGTTCAAACCCATGTTGTTCAAGAGTCAACATATTCCAAATGGAAAGAAATCACAGTGAATTATCAGAGGCTTAGAGATTTCTGTCCCTTTTGACAGAGAACTCTGGGTAGCTCACTGGAAACTTTCCCTAGCAATACTTTTTAATTGACACCTGGCTTCACTCCATCTGCTGAATCAAACCTGGTGGTGGGACCCGTCAGGGGAACAGAGTCTCAGCCCCCCAAGCGGGGGGGAGGGCGTCCTCTGTATGTAAGTGTAGCATGCATACAGCCTAGGACAGCGGCAGTTGGATGAATTTTTCGATAGTGACCCCTCCTGCAGCCACCACCCTTGTGCAGGTGCTTCAGTCATGTAAGAGACACCCCGCAGAGACACCTGAAAACCTAAGGGAGGAGTTGGCAAGGGCGGGTCAGTAAGGATGCCTTTGGGGCACATGGCTTCAGACCCCAGCCCACACTGGCTCAAACCCAAGGAAATGTCTCGTCCCCATCCCCAGCCCCTTCCAAACACAAGGTGATTCCGACTGTGGGCACTGGCCTGGTCGCTCCAGAACTTCCCCCAGGCCTTGGCCCTGTCCCCTGCCATCCCAGGGCCTGGCCTGACTTTCCTTCACCTCTTCCCCCTGGCAGAGCTGTCAGCGAGAAGCTCCCCTCCTCCCCTGCCTCCTGCCCCGGGCCAGCCTCCTGTCTCCTCAGCCCTGCTGGGAAGGAGTGAGAATCCTCCAGCTGAAATCATCTGGGTCTAGGAGGTGATTCAGCACAGTTTGGGGGAGAGGAAAAACTTCCACGTGGAAGTGGTCAGGAAAGGAGGGAGGGAAATGGACCAGGGGCAGGCCCCACTTGTCCAAATGCCTCGTACAAATTAGCCAGAGGTCCCTCTTCCTCTGGGCAGCCGCAGCCCCTCACTGGGGCCTACTCGTCCCCTGGGCCGGGCCCCACCGTACAGGGCACACAGCCTGTGTGGCCATACAGACGGGTCCTGACAAAGAGTGGGGAACCCTGGAGGTGGAGCCCCACTGGTAGGGCAGCTACCAGCTGTGGACAAGGAGCTGGAGGGGAAGACCCCAGCCGCCCAGCTCAGCAGCTCTAGGGAAAGCCCCACCCTGCCCGCACTTCCTCAGCGTGTGTGTGTGTGTGTGTGTGTGTGTGTGTGTGTGTGTGTACACAGTGGGGGTTGGGGAGCAGCACAAACCACTGAGGAAATGGGGAGAGTCAGCAGCTTCTGACGGAAGGAGTGAGGACTGCGGAGGGGAGAGAAGGGAAAGGAACAAAAGGAGGAGCTTCCTGGCCCTGGCGGGAAAGTCACACAAGCGGCCGCCCTCTGAGCGCCCTGGGGAGCCCACTGCGGGGCCTGGACCCCAGAGCTGGCCCCCATCCCCATCCCCCCGGGTACCCGGAAGGGAGGAAGGGAACTGACCCATTAAGAACCGTTGGACAGTGGCAGAGGCCATCACTGGGCTGCACCATCGTGGTAGGGTCCCCTCCCCACCTACAAGAGGGTGTGTGATGGCTCCTAAACAAGACGGCATGCTAAGGACCCGACCCCTCGTCAGCCTGCTTAGTCCCAGGAGAGCGACAGGCCCAGGACAGCCCCATTCAGGCCCCACTCTGTGTGTCACTGACCCCTTCTGGGAGTGCAGGGAGGGCTCCCAGCGAGAAAGGGAGGAATGTTTGTCCATTCGCTTCAGAGCATCAGCTTTGCAGTGCGGGACCGAGGCCCCGGCGAGCCCTTCTGCAGCCCTGTTTTCTCAAAACCCAACCAGCTGCTCTGCCCAGGGCTTGCTGGGCATCAGCTGTGCAGGGAGGCTGGAATCCGACCCCTGGCATTGGGCCTGGTCTCCATGGCAGCTGCGGGTTTATTACAGGGGCCTCCACCCAGCTTGGCGGACTTTCGACTTGAAGCAGGAAGGAAACCAAGAAGGCAGTCTGGGAGCGGAGAGCCCAGGGGTGCAGCCGGAGGCCCCGCCATGGTAAGTGAGGGCCTGTGTCACCTGGCGGCTGACCGGGCTGGTGGCAGGGGAGAGGGGGCGCGGGCCGCCCGTTCATGGAGTCCCTTCCTGACTGTTTTTCTCTGTCTGCTGCAGGCCAAGTTTCTTTCCCAGGACCAAATTAATGGTAGGTTGGGTCTTTAATTAGCAACTCACAGCAAAATATGGGTCTCATTAAGCAATTTGCTCTGCTCAGTTTTTGTTGGTGGGAAAAAGGCGGCTGAGGGGAGATTTGGGCCCACCCACAGGCAAGAGCCAGAGGCTGCAGGGGAGGTGGCGCTCAGTGGAGGTGGGGGGAAGGCTCACAGGTAGAAAAGTTGCTGTTACATCTGCCAGGGCGATTTGCAAGTGGGGGAAATAGGAGAGAGGGCTCATTTGATTTTCCTCCAGAACCTGGTAGCTGGATGTGGGGGAGGAGGGAGACAGAGGATGGAGAGAGCAAACACAATTAACTGGCTGGGGCTGAGGGCCCAACAAGAGAAGGGGGGGCTTTGTACTCGGCTGAGCCAGAGAAAAGGGCCCCGATCTGCACTCTCAGGCAGCACCTTCTGCTCTCTGGGGGCCTCGGTCTCTTCGCCTCTAAGGTGGGAGGTCAGCTTAGATGGTCTCAGGTCCCCTCTACCCTTACATCAAGCCTCGTTTTGCTGTTTGGAGCACTTATTCCATGAGTCCCCTAAACTACTGGCCCCCCCAGCAGGTTTCAGTTTCGCGCCTGCAGAGTTCTGCTTCCACGAGGCCGAGGGGAAGAGTTGGGTTACACAGAACGAAGGGGCCCAGGCCTGGATGAGAGGAGGCCCAGCGGAGCCCACGCAGGGTCCTGCGGGCCCGGGGGGGCGGGGCTCCAGGCTGCCTGGGCGGAGATCCCGGCGGTCTGGATACCCAGAGCTTGGTCTAGAAGGAAGAGTGGGGGAGTGGGTTGTAGGCTCCAGGTGGGCACCTCCCCAAAGACCCCTTGATATCCTCACCTCAAGAGGAGGGCTGGAGCGAGGAGCCTTAATGCACAAGGTCCAGGGTAGGAGCCTCATGCGCTGGTCTCAAGGTGAGGCCGGGCGGAGTGTAGCGGCCAGCCTCAGTGCCCCCTGGCGCATCTGGTCCCGAGGCCCACTGAGCCTTCCTCTGAAGCCCCCAGAAGAAAGAAGGCAAACTTCCCTTTGTACCCCAGTGTCTGACACCAAGAAAATGGCCACTCATGTTTAATGAATGAATGATAGACTGGACAGGGGTGGCCTGTTGGAGTGGGAAGGACAGGCGCCTTGGAGGTAGCGGGCCTGGGGCCTGGCACCTCTGAGCCTGTTTTCTCACCTGTGAAGTGGGGGTAAGGACACCACCTCACAAGGCGGCCGAGAGGATATTAGCCATGCGCCTGCCACTGGGCCTGGGGCAGCCCGGTGTCACCAGGGCACTAGCTGGCATCAGCCAGGTGGTACAGTGAGCTGGTTGTTAAAATCGGCCATTGTTAAGTAATGTAAGATTAAACAACATTCCACCCCCTGCATTTGTACAGAAAAATGAAAAAGATGGCCCTATTGCAAACAGCAATGCTAAAGATTTGAAAGAGGTTTTAGTTTAATGGATATAATTTGTACAAGGGTAAGAAATACTTCAATAGTAGATCACTTATCCAATTGAATAATAGATTTCATTGGAAAAGAGTTGCATCTTTGGCAGGTGACCTCACTTATCAAATCGCAGTCCCCACTCCCCACCCCCACCCCCCCAAGCAGAGGCTCCACCTGGGGGGCTTTTGACCAATTCTGATGGCATGACGGCAGGCCCCCCCGCCCAGGTCTCGAATCAGAATCTCTTTGGGAGGGTCCAGGGATCTTCCCGGGCTGCCGCTGGCCTCGTTGTTCCTCCAGAGCTGGGAGATGGGGGTGGAGAGGCGGTGGGTACCCTGCTCCGCTGGGCTGTGAGAATGTGGCTCTTGGGGCTTTAGCTCCTGTGGGCATTTCCTGTTCATCCAGGGAGAAAGGGCTCGAAGAGAGCTGCAAGCCCCATCTAGTCAGAGCCCGGAAAACATCCTGGTGGCACCCCTTGAAGTGCTTAAGAACAGGACCAGCACCTGTGTCAGAGGGCAGCTTGCGAGTTCGCAGTCTGGAGGCTGGGGTCTGGAGCAGTGGGTTCAGCACTGCCTATCACTGTAATAACTGTCACCACATATGAGAGCCACTGTCTGCCAGGCCTTCCCCAAGGTGAGGGATTTCTGGGCCTGCCAGTAACACAGAGACATTATGATCCTCCTTCCCCATGTAAGTTGTCTTTGCAAAGGTCCCCTGGGTGTCTGGATGCCCTGCTGCGGGCTTCTGGTCTCCCTGGACTGGACCTAGAGGAGGGGAGAGCTTCCCTGTGGTTTGAGTCAGTTGTGGGAGGGGAAGAGAAGGAGCAGAGAAGGAATAGGGTTGCCAGGTAAAATACAGGGCACTCAGCCCTGGCCAGTGTGGCTCAGTGGGTGGGAGGATCATCCTGCAAAGCAAGAGGTTGTCGTTTGACTCTGGACAGAGCAAGTGCCTGGGTTGCAGGCTTAGTCCCAGTTGCGGGGGAGGCAACCAATTGATGTTTCTCTCCCTCTCGCTCTTTCTCCTTCTCTTTCCTTCTCTCTAAAATATAAGTAAGTAAAAAATACAGGACACTCGGTTAAATTTGAACGTCAGATAAACAATCATGCAAAAATTTGGGACATACTTATACTAAAAAAATATGTTCTTGTTTATTGGAAGTTCAGTGTTGAACTTGGCAGTCCTGTATTTTTATTTGTGATGGGAAGGGGGACAAAGGGAGTGGGTACAAGGAGGAGGAGGGAAGAAAAAAGGGAGGAGAGGACGAGGGCGTGGGGGGTGAGGCGGAGTGTGAAGGAATGCTCTGCTCCTGACTCCCTTTTCTGGGCTGTGCGCAGAGTACAAGGAATGCTTCTCCCTGTACGACAAGCAGCAGCGGGGGAAGATAAAAGCCACCGACCTCCTGGTAGTGATGAGGTGCCTGGGGGCCAGCCCGACACCTGGGGAGGTGCAGCAGCACCTTCAGACTCATGGGATAGGTGAGTGGGCTGGGCCAGGGCTGGAGAAGACGTGGGCTGCGCTGGGGGGAGGGCCCTGAGCCCTGCGTCTGTGGTCCTGGGCAGGGGCGCGGCAGATAGGTGCAGGCGATAGAGGTGTGGACAGGTCGGAGAGCTGAGGGGCAGGTGGTAGGCGGAGGTCACCAGCTGGGAGCTTTAGAGGTCTTCGCCAGTGGCCTCTGAGCCAGACATCGCTCAGGCTCCCTTCCATCCTCCCAGCAGCTGGTGACACCCGCATCTCAGAGCGGACCATGGGGTCTAAGCTGTCCAACAAGGTAATCACAACTCTGCAGTGAAGGCAGGGCTAACAGTGATCCCAAAATGGCTTTGACAGGACAATTTCCTTTTGCTGAGTATTTGTCACGTGCTTAGCTCAAACAACCCGATGAAGAAGGCACTGTTTTACGGGTAAAGATCAAGGTTCAGAGCCATTTGGTCACTTGCACAAACGCATACGCCAATGGTGGAATCAGAGCTGGGACCCAATTCTTCTGATTTCAAAGACTGACCTTCTAGAAACTATGCAATTCTGGGAGAAACAAACAAACAAACAAAAAAAGGTGGAAGAAAACTCAGCCAAAACATTGCCAAGCGGTTCTCTCTGGGATGATTTCCATTCCTCATGGATGATTGTCATTCCCTTTACTGTTATTTCCTGTATTTTTGACAGTGGGACCATACAGGATTTTATAAGTGGAAACAAGTTGGTTTTTTAAAAAGAAAACAAGAGGGGTATCCATGGTTGGGGTGGCTCGCACAAGGAAAGACTAGCCCAAGAGAGAGGGGGTGGCCCAGCAAGAGCACTTGACCAGGAGGCCATCTGGAACTCAGTTGCCTCACCTCTCAGATGGGTTCCCGCATGGGCTGGCGTTACCCCAACCAAAGACCCATCAAGTGTGCCTGCAGCAGCGCTGGGAGCCTGTCCAGGGCAGGCCTCTCAAGGCCTAGAGCCCAGAGATGGGGCGCCAGTGACAAAGACTCCCTGTTTCCACCTCCAAGGGGTGGTGGTTTCCTTTGGTTTCTGTCTCCTCCAAACAGGGAGCTGTGGTCAGGGCAAGTTCCAGTTTCCTGTAGTTATACCCCAGGCAGGGGCAGGGCCGAGCCCCCCAGGCATGCTCAGAGGGGGAACATGGGCCAGGGAGCCCGGGGTGGTTGCAATGAGGGGAAGGGCAAGCAACAGCCCAGGCAGGACCAGGAGGTTGACACATAGATGTACTTCCCTGCGGTTCAGGGCATGAGAGAAGCACCCAGAAGGGAGCAGAGGAGGTGGTCCTCCATCCTGGACCTGCCACTGCTCCAGGGGGTGACTTCCCACTCAGAGCGTGTCTCCTTAGTGGGCAACACGGGGTGATGATAACCATAGACCCTGAGGAATGTGGGCAGGATTAAATGAGGCATGTCTGTGGTAGGAACTCAGCAGAAGGGGCTGCGCCTCTTCGCCACGACCACTGCCACATCAGGGCCTTTCCTGAATTGGGTGGCCCTTGAGCCGGCCAGAAAGGCTTGGGTAGGAGGCCGGCTGGCTTCCCCAGCAGGAGCCTTTTCCTCCCTGTTCACTCTGCTGTGTTTGGGTATTTCCTAGACAAAAATGGAGAGCTGGATTTCTCCACTTTCCTGACCATTATGCACATGCAAATAAAACAAGAGGACCCAAAGAAAGAGATTCTTTTGGCCATGTTGATGGCAGACAAGGAGAAGAAAGGCTACATCATGGCGTCTGAGCTGCGGTCAAAACTCACGAAACTAGGGGAGAGGCTCACCCACAAGGAAGGTAATGGTCTGGTTCCCTCTTTCCCCACAGCTGGAAAGGATTAGGAAGTTGTTGGGGGTGGGGGTGACCCCCCGCCAAGCATTGTGCAGACACTGCATTTCACACATGCCCCGGGAGGCTGTGCCTGGATGGTGAGGCGGGTGAGCTGTGGACTGGTGCCCGAGGGAGAGCTGGGGGGTCTGGGGTACCCAGAGGAAGGCCAGCCCGGTGAAGGGAGGGCCTGGGGAATCCTAGCAAGGACCTACTTGGGCCTCCCCTTGAGTTTAAGCTTTCACGGTGGGCCTTTATTTAGAGCTATGCCACCCTGGGAGCACTAGAGCCCTCTTATAAAGACACAGGGGAACCAAGTGGCTTGCAGTGGCAGAGCTGGGAGCTGGACATAGGTCTGCAGGACATTTGTTAGCTCCCCACACTCCCAGGCCACCTCAGGCTCTTTTCTTTCACCACAGCTGTATTCTTAAGTCATTGCTGATGCCAGGTGCCCAAAATGAGCTGCTACTTCGTTCCCTCTCCTCGTGCCTCAGCCAGCTCTCACGGCTTTCCAGGGCGGTGTCCAGGGCGGTGTCCATGGCGGCCTTTGCTGGGACTGCTGGTCCCAGAACCCCGTGAGGGGCCTTTGCCCGGTACCTCCCAGCAGCCCAGCATGCCTTCCTGCCTCTGAGCCGAAGGGCCTGGGTCTTCCAGGGAAGCCCTTCACAGGTGGTACAGGGCCACCCCCCATGCTGGCACTTGCCGGCGTTCTTCCAGCCTGTCCGGCTAGCCTGTCAGTCCTGCCACAGCAGCCATTTCGAGTCACCAGCAGAGTCTGCGCCCACTGACCCAGGAGACTGTGATTCCCCGTCAGGCTGCTGGGCTTGCAGTGGTTGGGACAGGAGGCCTTAGCCAGGACACCGTGGGTGCAGGAAAGAGGCTTCAACCACGCCAGGCCTTTCGCCTTCGGTTAGATCACAACCAGCCAGCGGAGGCGGGGCCAGGCTGTGGTTGGAATTAGATTTGAATCCTTGGCTCGCCCTCATCCTGGAGGACCTCAGTCGGGTTTCTTCACCTCTCTCACCCTCCTCAGTTTCCTTGTTGGGAAAAAATGAGGTTACAATAAACAATCCCTCAGGTCCCTCCAAGAGCTAACATTCTATAAAGCTGACTGCTTAGATTTTATCTGCAGCCACAAAGGCACAGCGCAAAGCATTTTAAAATCGTGCTACAGAAGGCAGATTCAGCTGCACCCCCCGCCCCTTTTCCTGGCTGGCAGCTTTCGTGCTCTTGCACTGTGGCTGTTTTCATGGGAACAGGGGAAACAGGGGCTCGGCAGCCCTCTCCGGCTCTGACGACACTGCTCGTAGTGCCTTTTATGGACCAGGTGGAGTGTTAGCAGAGACGGCCAGCTGGGGCCTTAATTCTTATGGTTAATGATCTCTGTCTAAAGTAATACCACGGGCCCCAAACTCATACATATTTCTCATTTGTTTAACCAGTTAAGAAGCATTTCAAAGAAAATGGCAACGTATTCCCGACAAGCTAGGAGACAGATTTCCCTTCCGTTGGCTGTGGGAGACAGGAAAGATGATACTAGGAGTCCTTTACCCTGATAGAAAGAAAATGTTCACTTTTATTAGAAAGCATCCTTGGAGTAGCTGGAGAAGGCTGTGAAGGAGACCTCCCTTCTAAGGTCTGGGACAGGCTGACTTCAGCACCCTGGTTCTTTCTGGGTTCAGCATGAACCACCACAGTGCCCGGCAGGCAGACCCCACCCCCCGGCTGCCCAGTGTGGGCCCTCTTCTGGGGGCGGGGGGGGGCGGGGAGGCTGTATTTGGCAGGGCAGCTGGTGTTGGACCAGTCCACTGGGATGGTTTGAACCAAGTGGCCTGGTGGGTAGAAGTTTCTCCTTGAATTAACTTACATTCTTCCTACCATTCTAAAAATATTCAGCACTCCCATCAGCCTAGGCACACAGCATAGTAATTACAGTTCAGAGAAGGCTGGTTAGGCAGAGAATCACAGGGTACTTTCTCACTGTCCAGAGTCCTGTATCAGGGACGTCTGGGGCTGAGGAAGTTGACATAGGACAGTGAGACAGTTTCTGCAAGAGGGTCCAGGTAGTTCAAAGAGCCGAAGGTATGTTGGCCCCGAGAGGCCACTGTGGAGAAGTTTAAGCTGAAATGGCCCTTCTTGCCAAGATCTGGGACAAGCTAGTATTTTGTTCAAGGAATCCAGAAACAGAAGAAATAGTAAATGAAGTGATTTTTTTGGAGCAGCATCACAGAGAACAATGGCAGTTTTGTACCCTTTCAGCTTTAGACACAGTTGAATTTATTTTCTCTCATACTCTCCCCACCCCCAAAACACAAACTTTTTAAAAAAGGTGATAGTGGCAGACACCACTTCTCAGCAAGTCCTCTCTTGGGGTGGGACATGCTCATTTGGAAGGGAAGGCCCAGGTGGCCCAGGATGGAGCAGCTGAGGGTGCCTTTTCAGCTGGGAGGGTGGGCTCTGGAAGTAAAACCCATGCCGAATGCTTCCACAAATATAGGTACAGGAAATATAGGCCATTAAAAAAAAAAAAAAAAAGGAGGCACAAGTGGGCTTCAGTGACTGAATCCTCACCAGCCCCTGCAGAAAATGCAATAAACTCCGAATTGTCTCAGGGGTCCCCAAGGGGTAGGGGGTGGGCTGTCCCGTTCCGCTGGCTGGCTTACTTCCTGGTCTACGTGAACAGACAGCTGGACACTCAGGGAAGACCTCTGGGGAGCCCCAACCCCCAAGAACTCGATGTCCTATAATGTAACACTAAAGCTGAACTGAAAAATTAATGTGATTTATTGCAGTGGATGATCTTTTCAGGGAAGCAAATATCGAACCAAATGGCAAAGTGAAGTATGATGAATTTATCCACAAGATCACCATCCCTGTGCGAGACTACTGAATACTGAATGAAGAGAATGTAAGAAAGCCTCCCCTGGGCCTGAAAAATCAGATGGATGAATTTTAAAGAAAAGTGTTCCTTTCACTCTAGGGAGGCAACACAGTGGCAAGATGACATTACCTGACTGGAGCAGAAGGGAACTTAGCAAATGAAATGATTTCAGCCATGGAATTAGCCTGCCTCTTGTCTTTAATAAAAGAGTTTTCCTGATTTTGATCACTGCCATTCGTCCAGCCCTTTACAGCCGGGAAAGAGCTTATGGCTTGGAGTTGGACCTGGGTTCCTCTCCTGCCTGCCGTTTCCCAGCTGTCTTTGGGCGAATCATTTCATCCCTCAAAGCCTCGGGATCTTCACGAAAGTTGGAGTTCTATTTCTTACCTCATGGAGCCTGCTGAGGATGGTCTGAGTTAAGGACTTGAAAAATATCTTTGCAAACTGTAGAGTACTGTGCAATCCTGAGTTACCATGGTAGTGCTTCTCCCGAGAAGGGCAATTACCCGAAAGACCAGGTTCTGTATCTGGTGCTGGAATCATCTTCCACATTTCCAAGACAGCCAGTGCTGGTTGAGAAATAGCAATACGCAGAACTAAAGCAAAGAACTATGGCAACATTTCTTGCAGCACCACAGGGCCACTTACAAATTCTCATTTCCATCTCAACACACAGTGACACAATTGAGATTAATTCATAAACACCAAGTATATTGCCCTGATTGGCGTGGCTCAGTTGATTGGGTGTCATCCTGAGAAGCAAAAGGTGTCCTGTACCTACCTGGATTGCAGGTTCAGTCCCTGGTCAGGGCACATACGATAAATCAATGTTTCTCACATTGATGTTCCTCTCCCTCTTTCTCTCTCCCTTTCCTACTCTTAAAAATAAAACCTTTAAAAAAAAAAAAAAGGCACTGAGTATAGGGTGGAAACATTCACAGTAAAACAAGGCAGCCTCAACTGAACAGTGGGAAGAATGATCTGCCTTTACAGCCTACATTGAAGGAAGACAAAGCAAACCAGGTATGACAAGGTCTCGCAGAACTTAAAAGGCCCTTTCTGATGCTTCGGTCAGAATTTCCAGGTCTTCCCTGGCCTACTACCAGAGAGGTTCACAAGCCTAGGACGTGTCAGCTCAAGTGGGTCGAATTGATCATGGCTTCAAGCCATTTCCCCAAGACTAATGGGAATTAATGAGGGGACGTAACAGGACATAACTATGATACAGCAAGAGCCCTGGGAGATAGTGGTAGGGGCACTGGCCCTGCTGGGAGCAATTCCAGGTCAAGTGGCTGAGCTATGTAGCCAGGAGGTGCCAGGCTGGTGCTGCCTGTGTGATCCAATTTGTGGATCCACTGGCAGAGTCAGCACGACCCTAAAAAAGGCTTGGAGTCACATTAGCGTGTTGAGGGGTAGGAGACAGGGCAGAGCTCTGAGTAGAGATTTTCATCCTTATGACATATCAAAATTGGGCTCTCCGGGCTGTGGCTTTGTCTAATGGTGCTTAGCGGCTAAAGCCTAAGAAAATAAAATTGAAGGAAGTATGTTTTTTGGGGTGGTTACATAAGACACACATCCAAGGGCCAGGCACAAGGGAAGCTGCAGGGGACAAAACAGTCAGTCTTAGTGCAACTATCTCACAGAGCTGTGGGCTTCAGACCAAACGGAGGTCCTGAGAAAGAACTCTTTTCATTGCCCCAACAGTGGAGTTACCAATGAGAAGAAATCCCTAGGAGCTGTAGAGAAGGGTTTTGTGGAGGGCAGGCGATAAGTGGCCCAAACCACCAAGTAGGTGAAGCTGTGACCATCTAGCTGCGGAATGCAGGTTCACTGCGCAAGGGCAGAACCAGGTTTTGTGCATTCCGAGCTTGTATGGTTTGGCAGCCATCTTTCAGAATGTGGAAACAAATACAGATTTGGTGGAACTGCTCCTAGGACCCTGTAAGAGGCCAGAGGAAGGGGCCCAGGTGCTTAAACCTCATCATCATCGTGGTCAATCTCCTTGAGGGGCTGGTTAGATGTTGGCACCCCATAGAGAACTGCTTCATTTCCCTTTCAGGCAAGGCTCAAGGGTCCTAGCCTACATTTCTTAACTCATCATGGACATTAGGAAGCAAATCTACACGGCCAATCTGGAATACCAAGGATTAGACAGCAGATACCTTTGACTTATTAGATGGGACAGGGCAAGTAAGTTCTGGGATATAATGATAAATGAGGGTACTTTCCCTTAAAGCCTTTTTGTTTTTATCACTGAGTGGCCCCAGTATGGTTTTAAAGGAACTTTTATTAAGCCTAACAGGTATCTTAAGTATAGCTTGCCAAAAACTTACTAAGTGGTATGGAGTGGTCATCAGAACCTGGGGCTCATCTCAGCTGACTCAGTGTCCCTAATTAAGAGTGTTCAGTGGCTAGGATTCTAAAATCCTAAGACATGTCCGATTTAAACCTCTATCTCAGGAAAGGCTTTTGGACCACGCCATGTCCAGGTTTTATGCTCATTCCTAAAATTCCAGTCGGTTCACCTAGCCCCTAGTCTTGTTTACAAAGAGGCGACAGTGCTCTTAGCTCTCCAACTGTAGCTTATAAAACAGATTTAAAACTAAACAGATGCTGTGGTTCATGACAAAGCTAGCCATATTCCAGTAAGAAAAGGGAATGATGGCTGTACATTCATTACCTCAAAGCATGATGCAAAACAATTACTTGTCACGCTTTGAAATCTCGGGATGAAAGGTGCTTTGGAAGCACAAAGCCTATCACTCTTCTCATACAGACTGTGCCCTTGTATACCCAGCCGTGTATTTTACAGAAGACAAATTAACTGAAGGCTTTTCTTTTATTACATCTAAAGAGCTCTACATAAACAGGTAACATTCAATAGGTAAACAATTTTTTTCCAATGCATGTAATAAATATCTTCACTTGGTACTTTTATACAAACTGACATTGGTCTACTATACATTTTTAAAAGCCATTTTACTGGTTTGGCATGCGGTATGGAAATTCTAAGAGAGAAAGTCTTAAGGCAATGAATCACAGATTTAAGTTTATGGAATTTATGGTAACTTTTATATCTGTTTATATACATTTTCCCCTTTGTTAACTGAATAATCAACAGCAGCATACTCTGGAACCACCGGCTATTCTCCCTTTCTGAAATCTAAGCTTTGTGTGTGTGTTTTTTTAATTAAAAAAACAGAATTCAACATTTATTGATAAAACAAAATTCTTACTAAAATAATTTCAAATGTACTCTAAAGTTCTGAAGATCTTGAAGTGTTTTTCGTATTTCAAACTGGAATTGTTTAAAAACAACATTCCTTTAACAATCAGAAATTAAAATTGGGATATATTTTCATTCAGTTTCAGACATTTGACTCAAAGGAAAATCGGCCAAGATACCACATTTTTGAGAAGCTTAAGTGAATCTTTCCTAAGTTGGTAATGATACAGATTTGTGAAAATGTCTAAATATAGAAATTTTTTAATGTTCAAAATAAATTAGTCAACCAAGTGTGGCATGGTTAAACTTCAGATTGTTTTAAAAAATGTGTCCAATAATGCCCACAAAAGTAACTAAAAGCCACTTCAACCCTGCTAGTCCAACAGCTATGTTACCAAGTGTGTGACACACTCACACAGCACTGTACAGAAACACACACATACACACCTATGATGAAAGACCGTGGCAAGGGCGATGCTGACAACTTGCCCAAAGGTTCTGAGAATCACCATTTGTCCACAAACAGCATGTCAATGTTGTCATGGGTGAGTGAGGGAGCGAGGGTGGGCTAAGGAATAAAGAGATGAAATGACCATATGCTTAAAAAAACAAACAACTTAGAAGATAAAGGTGCAGTGAATGACTTGCATGACTCTGCTAATAATTACTACAGATCATGAAAATCTGACTAATAATATTGGCCATGAGACCAACAGAGTAATAGCCACTACTACTGTCAACATTTTGAATGGTCAACAACTGAAGGGAACAAACTCCTTAGAGTATAGAGTGAACTAAAATAAAGAGACAAATGAATGGTTAGTTTCTCCTGTGGAGACCTGACCAAAGCCACTAACTAGACAGACATTTATTTCTCCCTATTACCTATTCTTCCTGTGGGTTGGTATAACGCAGGATACTAAGGGGAAATTAACCCTCTCCAAAATTGGGCTGAAGTAAGACGGGTTTTCAACTGGATTATTCAAAGAGTTTGTAATTCAGCATCATACACAAAGTTATTGAACAGAATTTTGAGACGACTTAAAACCAAGGAAAGAAAAAGAAAAAACCAGAAATAAAGAAAACTATTCATTTTAGGTAGTTGAATTAATAGAAATGTCTCCTATAGTAATGCAAAATAAGAAGCAACTCCCCATAATTTAGGTAATTTCTATTCCAATTCGAATTTAGACACAAATTATGATACTATTAAATATTAGCCTAAGTTAAAGTATTTTCTTACCATAACACCAGATTCATTTAAAAACTTAACTATTTCCTGTTTTAACCAACAATAAATCTTTTTTTATTGCGAATTGTTTAGTGACTAACTCAGCCATGTATGTGTGGAATACACATGCGTTGGGGAAGACTATATAACTCACTTGTCACTCACACACACTTGTCTATAAATACATATATACACACACACATATACATATCAACACCAACTTGTTTTTCAAAATTCAAGTCAACAATTTAGTGACAGAGAGATGCTGTAAGAAACATATTATTTTTAGATGCCACATAGTCATGTGAACCATTAATTTTATCATACAACCAAAGATACAGCCATCTTGAAGTCTACCTGGATTATAATGGGTCATTTTGTTACCACTGCAAGGTTTAAAATGACAATCTTATACACAAAGGTGGTCCTTCATCAACTCTGAGAACATAAACAGTTGTGGTATAAAAACCCAGTCTGGAAAACTGGTAATCATTATGCCCCTTCTTTATCTTTTCTGTTAAACCTGCTAAACCTCTCAATCAGCTAAAAAATATTTCCCATACCTTCAGTTATTCCCTGGAGAACGTAACACCTTCTCTCATAAGGATTTGGAACACAAGTAGAACCGCTTTTCCTTCCCTCCAACCCTCACTCATCTCCTGAAAAACAGTTTTCAATATATTTACATGTTCCATTATTAATAAGAATAGATCAGGCTGATCCACGAATTCTAAAAGAAAAAAAATTGACTTTCATATGTCATGCTTGTTTTTAAAAGGTGAAGAAAAAAATAAACAAGACAACTAAGAAAGTAAGTACACTCAGAACAGAGAGTAAAATGACTAAAAATCAAGCCCATTTGGAATTTCAGCTGTCGACCAGAAAGCAGATTTCTACAGACTGACATGTGTGGTACACTGTACTTTCTGAAGAGAATATACTTTCAGGATAATTGACTTTTTTTTTTTTTGAGATGACATAACCTTACTTCTGTCAGCCGCACAAGACACCCAACAGGGCTTTCTAAGCTATTTATACTTCTCATTTTGGTATGAAGATCTTACACGAAAACTTGTTACCCTGTGGCTAAAAAAGCAGGTGTTCACAGACTTGGTTTAAGTACATAATACTGGCAATCCAAATTTAGAATAAAGAACTAGACTAAAGTGTATTATTTGCAGGTCTGCTAAGCCTACTCCTTATCCAGACAGCTTTACTTCAATCTCTAAAAACATATTCTCAGGGGTATCTAGCAAATAAGAGCGCGTGTGTCATGGAGAACATGCAATTGGGATAGTCCATAAAGATGCTCCTATGTGAGTTCAAGACCCTCAAAGCACTTTAAAGGAAGCAGGCTACTGATTTATCAACTGAATGCAAACTCGGGAGAAGGAACAGTAATGACAGAAAAATACAGACACAGACACACTGAACACACACACCCACGAGCTATGTCCTGGAAATACACAGGGAATGCAGTGGGACAGATGAGGTTTATAACTTAAGGCTGGATAAAATATGCATACACACAAACAGAATCCAAGTCTGTCATTTTTAGAAAAATGGAAATTAAAACTATCCCCTCAGGCCCCTCCCCATAACAAAGAAAAGCCCACAATTTAAAACTTCATACATGCAATTCCTTTTCTGTTATTGCAAATAAAATAATGCCATTTAAGTAAAATAAAACCAAAACCATAGGACAAAGAGTGAAAAAAATCTTCAGAATCCAGGAAAATTGAACTGAAGGTGGTTTGTGGGTACTTGTTTTTTTTCTTTTTTTTCCTTTTCTTTCCTTTTTTTGGTTTTTTTTTAAACAAGTGTTTTTATCAGACAGGCAGTCTTAGATTTATATACAAAAGTAAAACTGAAAATATAGTTTTGTTCTCTGTACATTTCTTTTAATTTTTTTCCCTAAAAAAAGGAAAAAAAACCACACACTTGTGTACTTTTCTAAACAGAATAAGGTAAAACATAGCACAAAGTCCTTTCTTTCTGCCAAGTTCATTTAGTCTGGGGAGGGGAGGAGAGCAGCACAGGCAAGGAGATCAGTCCAATGAAATAATGTCTGGTATGATGCCGAAGATGGACGCTGTGTCCGTGCTGCTCCTGTTGGCGACGGTGTGGCTGTGGCTCTCCCTCAGGCTGTTGGAGGACACGAGGCTGCTGTTACTGCCACTGCTGCTTCCGTTGGTGGTTGGCAGAGAAGTGCTGCCTCCTGCATTTAACTGATCGAGAAACATCTGCGAGGAGGTATACGGAAAAAACCGAGACGAGTGTAAGAGGTCTTGATCATCTGAAACTGCTGCAGCGGCAGCGGCAAGGAGGGAGGTGTTATAATGCTAGGGAGGGGGAAAAGACAAAACAAATGTTAATTATACTTATAAATTCATAACCTTTCTCTTAGCAGAACAAAGTCCTAACTTTAATATATTCTGAGAAGCTAGTGTTTTTGAAATACTTAATAAAAACATTTTTGCAAAATCAAACGGCCTTATGAAATGAATGCATCGTTGATCCTGAGATATTTTGTGTTTGAAACAGAAGAAAAAAATTTTTAAATTGTTTTAATTTGTATTGCAACCAATTTTCAAAATTCGTTTTCCAAACTGGTACATGCTCAGAAGTAGTAGAAAAGAGAAGAGTCTACTCTTTCTCTTATGGAGACATTTGGCCAAGAATTTATCAGTCAGTATGATTCATTCCTCTGTTTCATTTTAAAACAGCACTGGAAACCAACAAAGAGATAATGTTCTTACTATATACTCAGGCACAGTTGACAAAGGAATTTTTATTTAAATTCTTAACACCTTAACGATACAGTAATGGGTATGACTACTCTGAATTTTCTAAGGAAATTTATTTTCTTTCCCCTGGCTACATATTACACTTCTAAATATTTTAATATACAATTAAAATAACCATAATTTTTTCATAAAACATACCTGATTGTCTCCTGATAAGAAAGGAAAGAAATCTAATCCTGTGGGAGAGAAAAAAAAATCAGTTTTGAAAACCACCACCAAAACTATCCCAAATGTCCCAGTACTTCAAAAATATATAAAAATCTTAAATGCTAATTCTAATTCATTTATAATTTTATTTAAACATGAAGAGTTGAGCTGAATGCTTTACATCCTTCCCTTCTCTAGATTACTAAGCCTGAAGTCCAAGCATTAGCAATGACTTGCCCTCCGTCATGACTCCATTCATGGGACTTGGCCCCTTGGTGCCCTGTGAGACCTAGCACTGGCCCCGTAAACCGACTTAACGCTTTTCACCGAATGCTCTTGTTGACACCTCTTCAGTAAACTTTCAATCTATTCTACTCCTCACAAGCATCTTATGAGATACGTTAATTGTTGCCCCGATTTTTGTAAATGAGAAAGTTTGAAGGTGAAAGGAGTTAAGCAGGTTGTAGCCCAGATTTTCTTTCTTTCTCAAATTTGCTCACTTGCCACTCACTCTCTGTACCGTATTCTGACTCAGGAGTCTCCAGGGCGTGAGGGGCAAAGACCTGAGAGGATGCCCGACGGCTGGGGTGGTGGCTATTACAGAAGGGTCAGCTCTGATTCCTGGCTGCCCGGGAGTCACAGCAGGCCCGCCCTTTCCAATTCACATTCTTGGCCACATTGTCTAACAGGTAATACAACGAAGATCAAGTAAACCAACGTGAATAAAATGCCTCGTTTATGACGTCTGAACTTGGGGAACAGTATAAGCAAAGCTGGATAAAAATATGACATCGACACACATACTTTGGGGATCCAACTCCTGACTACACTAGGGCAGACTGTAACGTGAAGACCTGCAGTTGGGCTACATGAAAACTAGGGCTGCACTGTCCAACAGAGTAGCCACTCACCAATGATATGGCTATTTAAATTTACTAATACTGAATAGAACAAAAAATTCAGTTCTTCAGTTACAATAACCATGTTACAAATGCTTAGTAATTACATGGCTAGTAGCTACTGTACTGGGCAGTAGGTTACATGATCTCTATCACTGCAGGAAATTCTGTTGGATGGAGTTGAAATAAGCTTTTTGTTACAATCACTTAAAATCCACTCAACTGTCTCAGCTCCTAAGAGTCCTTGCCAAGTGGCCTGAGTTTTTCTATTGGGGAGGGGTGGAGGGAGACTTCCACTTTGATTTTTGTAGTAAATTTTCTACAATGAGCCTATATGGCTTTTTGTAATAAAAAAGAAAAATGTTCTTAGATTATATTGCTTACATACAAATTATTAAATTATAAATATATGAGAACTAATAATTCTTTTTGATAATGTAAATGATACATTATTAACTCAAAATATGCTGTACAAATGAGTAATGACAGTTCAAACTACTTAAAAAAAGAAGAATCGGTTTCACTGGAACAAAAATTAAAACCGTGCAATTTCTCAATTCTGCATTACCTAAAAAATAATACAATATAGTACCCACAAAGCCTGTTGCATCATAACTGGATTCAGGAAACAAAACTAATACCATAAATATCACAATTCAAATCAGCACATAAGAAGTCATTCTAAAACAATTTATAGAATACTTTGAAGTTCACAAAACCTAAAGATCACTGCATTAGTTTTACCACTGGTAGTAAAACACTGGCTATTGATGAAAAGTACAAACAAGGAAATGGATTTGTATTTATTTATGACCTGTTCTGAGGTCCAAGCCCATTTTCCCAATCTTTCATTTCTTCCTTAGATTCACCCAGAAGACTATGTAAATCAAAGCCATTTAAAATGCTATGTGATGATATACAAGAACCAGTGACTCACCTTGCAAGTCATAAGGCATGGGTGTCATGTGGAAAGGATGCCTGTAGTCTTGGATGAGGGATGCGTTAATGTAGCTTGTGTCTACAGCAGGGAGGCTTGGGGTGCGGGATACTGGAGATGCTTGATGTGGAAGACTTAATATGCTAGAGGGAAAAGGTTTGCATAATTTTCATGAGTCATTTGAACTTTTAAGTCTAACAAACAAAGGAGCTGCATCTCATAATGAGTTCTAACTTTTCTGCTAGAAATAAAAACAAAAGAAAAGCAATATATATAATTTAGAGTATTATAATTACAGTTGTTCTTTGGTATGCACAAATATTGGTTCCAGAACACTCATGGACACCAAGATCTGCAGATGCTCAAGTCCTTTTAGTTAGCCCTCTGTATCGTGGGTTCTGCATCTGTGAATTCAAACAACTGTAGACTGCAGATGCAGAACCTACAGATACAGAGGGCTGACTGTATTAGGAAATAATCTGTATACTTAATAGCATTTTGCAGAGGTTATTTTGGAGAAACGGATGGATGCAATGGTATCCAATATTCACAAACCCTATGCTGTCTTAGGATCATCATACCGCATTTTGCTGTGTATAATGTACACTTAGTTTGCCCAAATTTTTGAGGGAAAAATAAGGACATGAATTATACATGTGTGTAACAATTACATACCATGGATAGGGTATAATCTGTGTATAATGCGTACAAAAATGTGGGTGCTCGTTATACGCAGCAAAATACGGTAATCTACACTTTCAGAATGCAGGGGGAAGGCAGGGCTAAGCTACTTCAATGGAGATGAAAGGTATTTACAGCAGATGATATTCTGAAACCTTTTAAAAATAAGCACTGGAGTGTCAGCTAGTAAAAAGGACACACAAGTCCTTGCAAAGAAAACACAGGCAAGACTGGAGGATGTAGCAATCTGATCAGTGAAGAGGTAACAGCTGGCCTCAAGACTTGTAAGCTTTTATGAGAACAAAAACTAGATACTCTTTATCTCAGTATATATCCAACGCCCGGCACAGTCACCAGCACACTGTTTGCATAAAAGGCCTGCTGAATGAAAGCAACAAGACAAGAAGAGATGCTCCAAAATGAACAGGTACAGAGAGTTTTTAAAGGGAGAACAGTATAACTGCAAAAAGAAGAATAAAAAGTGGAATTCTGCAACAGTGTGAAATGTTTAAGTAGCTGAGTAGTCAAATTATTTATTTATTTATTACAAAATATTAGGCAAAAAGCAAAAAGGAGGAAAAAGAAAAAGAAAAAAAAAAAAGAACTGAAATGATTTTGAAAAGGAAAACAAAGAATTCTAAAAGTCCTGAGTGCAAACAAAGGATCATATGGTACCCAACCATTAGGAGACTAATAGGTAAATTACAGAAAATAAATGGAAAAACAAAGCATAAAGAGTCTATCTTTTGCTTTTAAAACTTCATGTACAGTATGTGGGATGTGGAAACGCAATTTCAATGAGTCAGAATATTTCAAAAGATCCTAAGGTTGGGTTTCCAGGAATAGAATTCTGGCTATGACCATCTACCATATTTTATGAATGGGATACTAAGCATAAAATACACTCTCATTTGCTTCATTAAAACAGTTCATCTAATGGAAACAATTAAACCTCTTGCATCTATAAAAAGTATCATTTTCCTTTAGCTGTCTCCTCTGACAATGCCAAAGGGATTTACAAAGGAAAAAAAGGCAGCTGAAATTCTAGTCTTGGTATACCCAACAGCAAAGGGAATTTCTGGATGAATACTAAACACTCAGTGGCTGAAGACTGCAAAGTGTTTCACATTTACTTACTTTTTTCCCTCCAATTCCCGCCTGAGTTCTTTTCTTTTTTGTGATAACATTCTGAAATGCATTTCCCCCTTTACAATACACATAACAAATGCAATATGCTGGCTTTAGGCTTGTATTATTGCTTAGTCATTATTGTAAAATGGCCACTAGTGTTGAATATGGCATTATTTTTCTCAAAATATCATAAACTTTCAGATTGTTTTATCTGAAAATAGAGAAAGATCTGGCACTTGCAAATACTATGTCTGGGTTCAATCATGCACTGGGAAGCTCAGGAAGTAGTTAACGCATCTAATGTAAATTTTGAAATAAAATAAACAAAGCTATCTTTGGAGAAACAGCAGTGTACATATCCAAAGAAGAAATGTTAGATTTCTGCACACTCAAAAAATTTCCTTTAAAGAAAAAAGAAAATATTCAGACAATAAAATTACTGCATAGTTTATGTATAATCAGAGGTAAAAATGTTCATAAAGTAGGATTTAAAGTAGAATTTGTGTTTATTCATTTTATTTAGAATAATATTGCTTTTAATGTCTTTATTTCTGTCTATGCTGAGATAAGCTATACTACAGTGAAAATACCAACCTGTGTTGTTTGATTATGAAGAATTCTGAAATAGTCAAATTCCTCCAACAAGCAAGGAGCTACATTTATGACAATTGTGCTTTTACTGTTGCAATTTCAAGTAATTGCAAATATATTCAAATAGAAGGTCATTTTATTTCATCAAATAATACCAAACCTGAAAATAATTTAACTCCAAGCACAGAAATGCCTTCTCTTGGTCTGGTGTTAACTTTTTTTCTTGAACCCTGAAATCTGTAACAATGCCTTCTGTGGACTTTCCTTCTTTCACTTACATTCCTTCTTTAGGCAGTACTGTTTGTTGAAAGGAGATGTTTTTGAATATCCCATACTCGGTTATAATAGGCCATGTAATTCCCCGGATATAAATACACCTAAAAGGGGGCACATCTATTTCTAACCTTTAGTGAGTTACAATTGTGCTTCAGCAAAGCATGAAGTCTTTTTGCTGAGAATCCCCAGTCTGTCTCATGAGACCAACAGTCTGTTTAAGAGTACAACTAGAGTTAGCTACTTTTTTTTACCATCTTCTACAAGGTGTTAAACCCTTTAAGGTTAGGACTGTACTTATTCATTTTATTATCACCCATTTTTATACAGCATGGGGTGTCTTACATAAAATAGATAACAGTATTTCATGAACTGAACTGAAGCATAACCACGGCACATTATTATTGATATGAGACTAATGGGAAATAAGCCTACAAAATAGAAAGCAGTAAGTGTACTACAACTTAAGTCTTTGGCTTCTTTCATTGCCAGCCTCACACACTCTGAGACAGGTTGAAAGCATTTATTTGCTCGTCCTCTACTTTCTACTTGAAACACGCCACTTAGGGTTAATTTTACAACGTACACTTTCCAGATTTGAGTAAGTGTTCTAAATCTTATGAGTAACATTAGAATCATTTGGAAACTTATTTAGAAATATAAATTTTCTCACTCCCTATTCCTAAGTCAGACATGATGTGGGCTGGGAAGTAATGTGTGTTTTAATAAGCCCTCTGGGTGATTCTGATGTACCCTGAAGTTTGAGAACCAGTGAACGAGACCCATCGTTTGGTATGATGGATACTATATCCAAGTGACACCTTTAATGCATTATCTCAACCCCTCAAGAATATCACACACCTGGGAAAAATTTAACCATTGACTGCTAAAATTTAATCTTTGATTGCTAAGGTAAGTTTTATAATCATGCATAATAATTTTATTTGGCATATCTTTTAATCCTATTTGCAAAATTTGCAGTGTCCTTTTTAAAGGTCTCAGCACTTACCCTTTATTATTCAGTGGTGATGTGGGAGATAGGGAAGGACAGGTCCTCTTGGCAGATGGCTCTTCCTCCTCTTCATCAGATGAACTGTCAATAGTTAGGTCAATCACCTCCACTTTCTTATTTTTACTTGAAGACTGGTGGTGAGAAGCCACCTGATGCTCCAGTGTGGAGCTCAAGCATCCTGTGTGAGAATGATTAAAACAGAAGGCAAAAAAGACCTATGACACCTCTCTTTATTTCTCAGTGTGCTTATTACAGTTTAGACTTACAGTATTGCTGGGGTCAGAAAGTAGAAAACCAACAGTGGTTCTGTTTCCCTATGCTTAAAACTACTACTTATTACTGGTTATTAAAAGGATTTTTTCTTAACAATTTTGAATCAGGACAATCAAAATGTATGTCCATTTCAAAACAAAAGCAGTTTTGAGGGCAAAGACGACCTACTACATATGTTTACCACTACAGAACATGATATACTTATGAAACGTTATAGTAACATTTCTAAAAAGTCATAGCCTCACCCTAACCAGAGTGGCTCAGTTGGTTGGAGCATCATCATCCTGTAAACCGAAAGGTCACAGGTTCGATTTCTGGTCAGGACACATGCCTAGGTTGCAGGTTCAGTCCCTGGTCAGGGCATGCACAAGAGGCAACCGACTGATGTTTTGCTCCCTCTCCCTCTCTCTCCTTCTCCCTTTCCCCTCTCTAAAATTTAAAAAAAAGGAAAGAAAAAAGTCATAGCCTCTCTTCAGCAAAACCATACTAAAAGCCAGGGGGGAAAATGCAAATAAAACAATGTTCAACAATCTGTACCAAATCTGTTAGAAATTTAAAAGGATACCATTTCAAAAGCATGACTTCACAAAGACTTATTAGATTTATGTTACTTTGAAATCTTATACCACACAATTTTAAAAGCTGGCAAAAGTGTATTTTAAAGGAGCTTTATTACTTCAGAACATTTAATCAATAATTTAATAAGAGTTATTGAGCTATCCATAAACTGCTGAGTGTTTTTTTGGACACAATTTGAGCATTTTAATACTGAAAACCAAGGCTTTACAACAGCAAGAAGAATGCTCCACTCTTTTGGAAAACGGACACTCACCATCAACTCCATTGTAAGAGGAAGAAACTTCCTGCACTTCCTTTTTTGATCTCATTGGTGCCCAAGAGCCATCCTCCTTAAACTGTATTTCATCGCAATCTGTACAGTACTTTAGGATTTCCATAAACAAGCTATAAAAAACAATTTGTCCTTTGAATATCACATGTTAAATGGAAGATAGATTGGAATTACTACTGTTCAAAAACCAGTCAGACCCTCTGTACAGGTATAAATGTGAAAGAAGAAAGTAGACCTGATAAGTTATATCTGTTCTCAAAATTTAGGGCTAAATAGAAAGTAGTTATTTAAACTATGGTACCTTTATGCAGAGGAACATTATGTAACCACAAAAACTGAGGTTTCCAAACATTTTTTAATATGGGAAAATGTTCACAGAAAGTGGAAAGGGGCCAAAAAAAGAAAACCTTACATTTTAAAAATAAAATTCTGTATACATGTGGTAGAGAAAGAATGCTTATCTGAGCGGTGACACTGTATTTTTTTTTTCATACTTTTTTTTAACACAGTCCAAATTGCCTATGAAAAGCCCAATTTTTAGTGAGCTTAAGTTAAACAGAGTTTCACAATTCTTTCGTTCTTTCTCTAGTATGGTCCACATGTCTACGGAGAGATGGATTCATGTGCAGAAAATGTGTAAGCACAACCTGTTGGAACCACTGGGGCTTAAATGGTAAATGTCAAGAGGCAATGACAGCAAAGCATGTATTTCTAAAACAAGAGGACATCAAGTTAAAAAGGTAAAATGTTCAAAATATCATTTACTTTGAAAAAATACTGATTTCTAGAATCATGAAAATCCTAAAAATAATGTAACTCAGAGAACATGACCTGATAGAAAACAAACCCAGGTAACAGATATCATTTCGAGGTACAAGGAAAAACTGTAAATGACATACCCATCAATAATAAGGTGTTCATATGGGGCCTTCTTATCACAGACAGGACAAACCCAAGTTGGTTTCTTCTCATTCATCTGAATATAAAGAGTTGCATCAAAACACTGCAGATGAGAACACGTAAGGGCCCGACATGGAATTGTCAGCCGCATTTTACCAAGCTTTAAAAAAAAAAGACAGAAGTAAATATCAGACCACTGTTATTCAAAATTCAAATTTAAAAATTTTCTGAAGCATAATGTATATGTGTTCTGATTTAGAGCATACTGTGTTTACTTTTCACCAATACGGAAGAACATTACACACATTTTCTGTGAAATATCTATAGGTTAAAAGATTACAGTATTTCTTTAGATAAAAAACGCACTATCTAAAAGTCTACAGCAAGGGTTATTATTTACCCTCACAGCTCACAGATGGGCTCTTGCGGGGGACTAAGGGCCATGAACTTCTTAAAATAATACATAAAAGTTTGTAAGTAGGTGCATTTTTCTGGAGAGAGCGCTTCAACCAAATTTTTAAGAGTAATCCCTGATCTAAAAACAGCTAAGAATCATTCTACTGGGGACCTGGAAATGAAAAAAGTTTGTCTTATTAAATACCACAGTATACAATGGCATTTACTGTCAACCTGGTATCTGAATGAAAGTAGTCTGCAGATCAAAATGAAATGAATGGCAAGCATTCCCCACAATGTTTGACTTAATTGCCAAATGACAGCTCTGGGTGGAAGCCAAATATGTGCACTCTCTGTATTTCCTCCCTCACTGGGCACTATCACAAGCGATGCAGCAACATCCTCGGACCTCTAGCACCTCCAGCATTATTTTAAGATTATCTTACTGCCCTGAAAATGATGCCTAGGCTGACACAGGCTGAGCTTGTCCTATGTACAATAAAATCTGCTGCGTCTGGTCGGTAAGCTGCTAGTGGTTCAAGGCAGAGAAGCTACACAGCAACGTTCTGTTCCGATAGGGAGTTGTCGTATCACCACCCCCTTCCCTGGAGAACACCTTGTACGCTGCAGCTGTATTACCACTATGGGCCCACAGAGGCCACAATGCCCATAAAGAGGCATACCTCATTTCAGTGCACTCTGCTTTATTTTTGTTTCACAGGTGTGCATTTCTTTTTACAAATTGAAGACAAGACCCTCCACCAAAAAGATTACGACTTGCTTTACTGCAGTGGCTTGGAACTGAACACTCAATATCTGAGGTATGCCTGTAGTATAGAAGTTACCTATTTTCAATAACCACATTATTTGCTGAATACCAGGAAAAGATTTTCCACACATTTGCGAGCTTATAAAATATAAAGGCTTGAAAAAGATTGTAAGTTAAATGAAGAAAAAAAAAGAGGAAAAGATTCTTGGCTTAGAATAATTTTGGGGAAATGTGCAATATCCTAGTCTACCAAGGAAATTGTCATTTGGGGCCCTAAATTATTGTTCTGATATCAATGATTTGTTAGCTTCTAAGAAAGATCCTTAACCTTTCTGGGACTCATTTTCTATCTCTGAAGTAACACTGTTTCCTCCTTACTTCAACAGGATATAGTGATGAAGAATAAAAAAAGGGCACAGAATGTGCTATAAACTTAGGAGAAAGGAGCAATGCCAGTTTACAGCATAGGAAGCATGAACAGGAGGGATGCAGAAAAAATGACAGTTCCCTTCTCTGTGCTCCTAACTTTCTCCTGCATATGATTATACTATTTATGTGCATGTTCCCTCCTACTAGAAGCACCTTGGACTCATCTCCTTATCTTTGGCACTTGAAAATGTACCTGCGATACAGCAGGAAGATGGTCTGGTGTACTGACAAAGGCCTCAGCTGTGTAGGGTGAGCAGTTTTAGGAGGCCCCATTCGTGGAGGCTGTACACAGCACTTCATGAGGCAGTCCTGAAGAGGAGTCTAGAGTTAGACTACCTAGGTCTGAATCCCAGCCTCACTACTTACTTCTGAATCCTGAATGTTATTTAGTCTCTCTGAGCCTCAGTTTTGTAAAATGGGGATAAAAACAGCATCAACATTAGAAGGTTATGGGGTTTAAATGGTTTATTGCATAGTGCCTGAAACATACTGAGTACTCAATATATGAGATCTGTCCATCTGGAAAAGCCCAGGCATTGTTAATAAAATGAGTTTGCGCAACACTGATGTAACCTGGCAGCCAAGAAGAGTGGACTAGAAGGCACATGTGTGAACAATGACAACTTCACTGTACTAGTCACTGGGGGCAGTAGATGCTGTTGAGAATGTGTACTGTGTGGTCATCGCATTCAAAATGACTGAGTGAGTAGAGCAATGAATCTGCATTAGATTTTGAGTGAAGTTTGAACATTTCTCCGCAGAAACCATCCAGCTGATTCAGAAGGCCACAGCTATGGGTAACTGGTGACTGGCAGCTTCATCATGACAATGCACCCACTCATGCATCACGTCTGATGTAGAATCTTTTGGCAAAACATCAAATCACCCAGGTGATTCAGCCGCCCTACAGCCTGGATTTGGCACCCTGTGACTCCTGGCTTTTCCCAAAATTAAAATCACCTTTGAAAGGGAAAAGATTTCATATTGTCGATGAGATTCAGGAAAATACAATAGGGCAGGCGATGGCAACTGGGAGAACTGTGTGAGGTTCCAACGTGCATACTTTGAAGGGGACCGAGGCATCATTGTCCTATGTACAATGTTTCTTGTATCTTGTATCTTCTTCAAAAATTTTCTCTTTTTCATATCATATGGCTGGATACCTTCTGGACAGACCTCGTATGTCACCCATTATTAAAGTACAGCAACATATCTGCTTCAAATCACTTTGCAAACTATTAAGAGACCCATCCAAACCTCAGCTCATTCTTCAATTCTGTACTGATACAGTATTCAACAACTTCATTAGTCCCTTTGTATACTTCTATTCAATTTTTATAGTTTGATTTATATAAGCACCTGACAAAAGGGCACAAAGAACAAACTAGCACTTAGAAAGGAAAAAAGCATTTATTTACCATTAGCCAAGGCATGCTTCATCAGTCCAAAGACCAAAGACATTTTCCAAATAACACTATGGTTGGTGGTGCTAAATTAAATTTTTACATTCTAAATCAGAGCTTAATTTATCTGTGAAGTGGAAATTCCTACCGAGTAGGTATTTTTGTTACTGCCTTAATACTAAGTAGGGAAATCAGAGACTATGAATCCTAGACAAATACATAGTAGTAGACACGCTCATGTACTGCGTAACTAGCAGGCTACTTCTGATAGTTTATGAAAACAATAGATAAGAAGACAAGGTCTTCGTCTCACATACCTTCATCCCTATAATCTCCACCTGTCAGCTTATCTTTTTGGTGAGAGAGCAACTTTACCGCCTTTATGATCAGCCACATTGACATGTTTACCTACAGAGTTTTTAAGGAACACTACCACATGAGTGGCACAGGAAGAACATTTATAAATAGGTGTAAGAAAGGAGAAGTTCACTTTCAAATGCACTGTTTATTAGCTGTCACACAAATGCCTTACTACAAAGAATCACAAAGTAACTATTTAATCCTCCTCCTGTTCCTGATTTTTAAAAACAGTCACTCAATTCTAAATACTTCTCTACAAACGGGCACTGATTTCTTTAACTTGGTATCACTACAGAATCTGAGCTTTGAACATCTTTATCTTGTAATTACAAATTCCCCCTACCCCTTTGTAGGATGTGGTGGATATCTGCTATCATTTGCAAATACACACTTTGAAAACAACTACCAAATGAGTTTTTGAATGCCACTAACCTTATTATACATAGTAGCTCTATATTAGTAATTGATGATGGTGCAAAACACCCAAGCTAAATTTAAGTTTAAACCAGCTTATATCAAAAGGACCCTTTTAGCCAATAAAATATGTATTAACCTTGTAAAAAGAAATAGTGATATTAAGAATAATTTCACAACTCTTTCTTCATCATATTTCATAAATAAATTTCCAAGGATTTTACTACTACTTCTATCAAAGCCAAGTCATTTGTATTTGAGTTTACAGGTCTGAGGAGTATCTTACAAAGCAGGGTCTCAAACATTCTTCTAGCTCTATTTTTAATAAATCAGAACTAAAATTTCCCAGGGAGCAAAAACATTTTCAATTATTTTCATTGCCTTTAGTTCTATGGCACACAAACAACAGAAACTCATTTATTCTGAGCTGTGTATATCACAACAAGGGCAATTCAAATGCACAGTCAGATATCATATTTACATATTTCAAAGGGAACAAATCTCTTTTATTATTCTATAAATTTGATATATAGATGAATTGTCATTATTAAGTTTTACTTTTTATAGAATAAAAACACACATAATATATTGCCTTACTATTCCAGAATCATTGTAAAGGGGATTGTCCCTTAGGCAAAATAAAAATCCATAAAATTATTATAATTATGGTTTATAGTTTTTTCTCTATAATCTGAATTTTGAAAGCAGATGTCAATTTCAAATGAACTGCTAAAATTATTGAAACTAAAGAGGGATTAGCAGGGGGAATATGGAAAGAAGCAAAAATTGACCCACTAAATTAAGAGGTTCAAGGAAGCACAATGTGATTATTAACATTTTCTAATAATAGCAAAGATATATGAATTATAAAATTCAAAACTAGTTCTAGAAATAAAAATGTCAAGATTTGTACTGTAGTGCTTGCTTATATGAATAAATGCTTCATCTACATGTTAAATGACAAAAATGTCATATATACATTAGCACAACTGTAACTTTTAAAATGAAACTGCAGGAGAAAAAGAGTTCTTCCAGTAATTTAAATGGAAGATGAAGCTTATGAATTTTCTAAATTTTTCATATTCTCTGTACTGATGTTTTATAATGGAATGGGGTGCAAGAAATCATGTGGAGGAGGAGGGTGGAAATCAAGATTTGGGGGAAAGAAAATAGGATAAGCACAGATCCCCCCCGCCATTTTTTTAATCTTTGTCTTCTCATCCTCCACTTACCTGGTCTGTGAACTATTTTTCTAAATGTTAAAAAAAATACCAGATTCCTTTTACAGCATAGCCTGTTAAAATATTTATCTAGTTACTCAGGAATCCACCACACATACATCTGGCCAGTATTTTTTATTGTAGTTTTTAAAAAAACCATAGTATTAAA